TCTACAGAGGCAGAGAACCAATCCAGTGCACATGGAACAGGCTACATAATTTTTTGCTAAGACACCAACTTAATTAATTCAAGATGCAGAAACATTTCAAACCTGATAAAACTCCAAAAGCCTCCCTGCTTCTATATGACCTTCCGCCCGTTTGAGTCTTTTCTGAATGTCTTCACCAGCATTATCTGCATTTGCATTGATGTCAGTTTGATACAGTAATGACTTGATAAGACATCTGATAATTTAGTTACATAGACTTTGGGTTGGAATACATTGGATCTGGACAACTAACCATTTATCTTCGGTAGCTTTGATAACATTGTTGCCATGACATTCCACTTATCCGTAACTTTGCACAGATACAGACATTGCAGAGCACAATCAACAACTTCAAACTCATCCTTAAAAAAACAAACAGTATGTAAATCCATGCACCCTTCCTCTATAACTTTTGAGCATAAATCCATATCATTTTTTGCTGCCATCTCCTTCAGCCATTTAACTAGAAAGGACTCCACATTACGGTTGTTTGTCCCCAAAAACCTTTTCTGCATAAATGGAATTGCCTTGTCATGCAATCTTCTAACCACAGTATCAGCTTTAACCCCTTCAAGCATTATTTTAAATTTCTCATAATCAGATAAATGCTCCCACCCAACAAGGCTTAAGCTGAAGCAGATTTCGCCTCCAATTTCGTCAGAATAAATTATCTGGTGCAAGTATGATAGATCCTCATGGAACTGTTCCAACTCAGATATGCCTTTTCGACATGCAATATCAATCAAGCAAATGCAGTTGTCTAACAGCCCAGTGGACGAATCAATATCTCTAGCTCTACTTTTGTACCAGGCAGCAAGTTCTTGTGATGATGGCCAATTACACCCCAAACACCTTCTAACAATTGGCTCAGTTTGAATCAGAGAATCATTCTTGCCATTCTCTGGCAGGTTATTAATAAATCTAACCATCTTCTCACATTCAACCCAGTCTTCTTCTCTCACTGCCATACTCGTTGGAGGAGATTTCCCCGGAAGAAGATGTGCATACGTTTCAACGGGGACTGTTTCAGGAATAGCTGCCAAAATTTTCAGCATGAACGAAGCAAGTGAATAAGGATGCCGCTTAAATAGCAGGTTTAAGGCTCCTATTCTCCCGCTCTCGGCAAGTGAAATAGCAGCCTGATTGATAGGAATACTCCGAAATTTTCTGTAATCCTGCACTGAATATCTGTGGAGACAATGTCATTAACCATTAGTAACCGGACAGTGTAGTTTAACAATGTCCTTAGATACCCACTCAGGCAATTTTCATCTGATATCTCCAATGTCAAAAGAGGGTTCTAAGTTTTCAAGTTGCAATCAAACCCACGAAAACACTTTAAACTCTAGAATCGATGTCAAATTCTAACCAAATTCTAAACGACACTCATCCTGTGTTGGATAACCATAGAATCTACTGGATATGCAAGACCTAATTAATACTATATGGCATACCAGGTTGCCAATCTGCAGAAAGGAAAAGAAGATAGCAAGCGTAAAGATATATACCTGCCCATGCTTATCCCCAAATATGTGTCGAGCCTTTCATTAAACTGTAATAGACGAAGCCTAGCCAAACGAAATTCCCAAAGTTGTTGGGATTCTTGATCTTCAGATTTAGTAAATACATAGTGATTAGTTAGATAAAGTCCATGCGCAAGTAAGGCCTTCATGGAATCTTCTGTTGGCCCAATTCTATCTAAGCATTCGGAGAGTACAAAAGCTTTATCTTTTATCTTTGATAGAATCGTGCTCACATCACTGACTCCTTTTTCTGAGTTCAACCATCTTGACTTGAAAACTTCATCTCTGTCCAAGCCATGACTATCAGCAAAATCTAATGCTTCTTGATACTGGCATTTCTCAACTAAGATTTTATACATTTCAGGAATTGTTTTCTCAGTAAAAGATATTAGCCTCCATAACATACTATGCTCACTAGTATGATGCAATTCACTTGGGTCCTTCTCAACCTTGGCCAGGGCTGATTTTGCTTCCTGTGTTGAACTTTCTAAAAGAAAAATGTGTCCCTCATATCTCTGAACTCTTTCCACGACAGGCATAGAATAAATGGTAGCATCCTCTTGAACTATAACACACCTATTGATGTCAAATATACTAATGTTACCGCTCCTTTTCAAAATTGTAAGGGCGTGATCAGACCACCAAGTAAAATCTACGACATTTCTTAAACTTTCTTTCCAACTTTGTAGTGACTTATCTGGCTTCAGTGAATCAGAACTGTCTTCAGAAGGACAGCACGAAAGTGTCAATCTTGCTTTATCTAACTGAAAAAGATGCACGCACCCATTGCTATCAAGACTTGCAACATGTGACCCTTGAGGTGAGATTAAAGTCTTTGGATATGCCAACTGATCATCTTTGTTCTCACAATACTCGCCTTCAAACTTTGTGGTGGACAACAGTTCCAGACCTAAATTCTGACACTTACGCCAAAGTGAGATACATGATGAACCTGGAAGTAAGTAAATAAAAACATTAATTAACCCAGAATCATAACCTAACATCTCTGTCCATCGGAAATATTTCAACAACCACACTTTTCATTCAACTATCACAAACACTGATAAATTATAGGTAGCATTCCCATATAATAGTACACAGCTATGGTTTGCCAAATTGAATGATTTCAAGCAACTGTAGCTTTCAAGTCTTCTTTACAAGAGTTTTAACAATAAGTACTCCTAATTCCAAACTTCCTCAACTAAAATAAGTTGTATAAAACTTACCAGAACTCCCTGTCGATGATATGCCTGCAGCACTACCAACAATAAGAAGAAAAGAAAGATTTGGATGGTAATCAAAGCAAAAAACGTGGTTGGGGAATTGCTTTCTCAAAGCTGAGACACTATTTGAAGCATGTTTGGAAAAGGCAGAAGCACTTGGCTCCCTACTGATCTCGACATGATGAATAAGTCCATCTGATGTAAGTACACTGAATGAACACCTGCAGGAAAATTGTCATTAGGACAGACCACCAGTCAAAATTTCATATCAGCGTTAGGCCTTAAGCAAACAAGTATATTGTAATGCTCAAGGGCACATTAGGATCCCAGTACTCTTTAAGTCTTATTCAATAACAAATAGGGACAGAAGGAAACGTACAAACATGATGGTTGCAAATCACAGTCGTCCTCCATCAATCCTAATACTGATGCAGAAACCTTCAAGTTTCTTTTTGTGACTTGACTTATTTCTTCACCATTAGCTCTGATGAAAAAGAGGGTCTCACTATCATCCACAAGACCAAGAACATCATGTTTTTCAGACCACACTCCAGAAGTAAATGATCCTGATATGTTGGCTGATGCAGTGAACAGAAGTTAGAAGACCAGGACATAGGCATGGAAAGGACCATGAGTTAAGGAAACAGAAAGAAGGAAAACGGTATTGTGAGGAGAGCATATTTTTGAAATGAACAGAATAACTGACTGGTACAGTAAGGTTTCACAAAAGGATGATTCCACATACCAAACTTGGAGAAAAAAAATGCATTTATAAGGTATTACAGGCATTTGCTATCACAGTAAATCAAGTACATAGTATTTGACAAGATAAATGCAGTATTCTACAACTTCTTTTATTTGACTGTGCTACGGCAGTGAAGTCCGGAAAACATTATCAGGCAAACATTTGTGAAAGCAAGGGAAGATATGTCAGAATTTCTTACATGTAAAATTGCCACAAGGTTTCCTGTAATCATCATCCTTTCGTAAGATAGTAACGTGATTTCCAGAAGTGACAGCCACAAGTTCTCCTCTTGGTGAAATAAATAACGACACCGGTTTATTAGTCTTTCTCGGATTCCAATATCCACTCCACTTTTCCTTGAGTTGACTAAAACCTTAATACCATAAGAGAATAGAGATGAAGAAGCCTGTATCAACGAACGGTCTATAATGCTAATTAAACAAAATGCGATGTACACAAACATGATTCCTACAAGCTCATAAAACAAAAAATTCAAATTCACAGACCCTTTGAATTATTCAACAACTAGAGAATCAAGCATCTGCGACTAACCTCTAATGGAGACAAGAGACCGAATCCCTCCTTTCGAATCAGTTCCATCTGCCTAAACTTCGACAGCAGATCAAATCGCAATGTAAGATATAAATAAACACTATACACAAAGCAATTAGTTAAACTCTATAAGTATGATGAATCTTGTACCTGAGGAAGAGGAGGATATCTAGGAACATAAGGCAATGAAGCATGATGACGTATCTCATACAAAACTTTTCTTCCAGGAGTTTCCATGATCAATCGTCTAAGGAGAGTGAAAGATCGAGATCGATCCTCACACCAGTTTCTAGGAGTCGGAGATCTAATTAGCAGGAGAAAGAATCAATCTAATTTTCTTCACACCCTAACCCCAAAACATCAGCATTCTCATCGATTTAACCACAAAGTTTTAAATTGATTCATGAAAACCCTTGACTAATTACTTAATTAGCTGCATGAAGATGAATTGGAAGGTGTATGAGACAAGAGTCGATAGAATACCTAAGCACGATTTGGTAATTACGCTCAGAGAGAGAGAGAGATTGGCGGCGAATTGAAAAGAGAAAACGCAGAATTTACTGACGTGGCGAAGATCCGGCGGTGCGATCTCCGATGGTGGTGACTGCAGAGGGATCAAATTCTCAGGGGCTCTTCAGGGGCCAATTTTTTTCTCAAATGCTCTCGTTATAACATTTATTTTAATTTTGATTTTTTAAAAATCGAAAAAGGAGACAAAGACATACGGGACCTTGATATTTTGATTTTATTACGTACCCAACCAAGCTAAATAGGTTAAAATAACCCAACTTCTCTTCAAACCGGGTCGAAACTCCAAAACCCTAAATTCCTCTTCCCTTTTCCTTTGTCGACATATCAAACCCGACAAAAAAAAAATTCTTATCCTTCATCCTCTTCTATCCATCCTCTACACCACAAAACCAAAGATTAACATCTGGGATTCTTCTTTCTCCTTTCATTCCGACATCTTCGTCATCCTCTGTAAGTGGAATTAGTCTTTTGCTTCAAATTCTTTGGAATTCAAAAGAAATTTCGGATTAGAATTTGAGAGTACTTATGTCTGAGATTACTTATGTCTATAATCTGAGATTACTTATGTCTAGAATCTTGAATCTGAGAGTACTTATATCTGAATGTTGGGGTTTTGTTTTTAGATTCGAAAGAGGTCCAATTCCAAAATGGCTCGGACCAAGAACGCAACGGTTGTTCCAACCGAGCATGAAGCAGACCCAGTACTAGGCGAAGAAGAAGAAGAGTTGCCTAGAGAAGATCCCGGTAAAGAGCCAGAAGATTATGAAGAAGCGGAGCAAAATTCAATGGTATATGTTTGTGTAAAAATTCAATTTAAATTTGATAAATCTGTTGCTTTTGTAAGTTTTGTAACATGAGTGTGTAACTTGATTTGGATTGTAGGATTCGGAAGATGAAACTGAACCACTACGACCATTGAAGATGTACTTTAGCCCCTCCGATTATGTGAAGCCATTCAAGCTATCATCTAAGTGTTATATTCATCAAGCGGTGAAGCTTTTGCGGGGGCATCTTTCAGTTGATGAGTTGAAATGGTTTTTGGAGCATCCACAGTTCAAGCACTTCTTCCATATGCATACGGGTTCAAATCACAAGTTGATGGGAATGTGGATGCTTCTTCTACGCACTGCTTGTCTTGATAAGAAGAAGGAATGTTGGTTTGTTGTCAACGGTGTACCAATCCGCTATTCTATCCAAGAATTTGCACTCAGTTCTGGTTTGTTCTGTCATTCTTATCCAAAAAATTATGAAGCAATTGGCAGCGATAGGTTCTCTGGAAAACATTTTGGTGCAACCGGAACAGTTACATATGCGAGAGTGAAGGACAAATTACTCTCCATGAAGAAATCTAACCCTGACCGTTTGAAGATGGCTGTCCTATATCTCTTATGTAGTGTGATCGTCGGGAAGAGAAAAACTGGACCACTAGCAGATCCTGTGGAAGACTTGTTTCTTAGAGCCGTGGAAGATCTAGAATGGTGTAAAACGTTCCCATGGGGCCGATTTGCATTTGAACATAATATGAAAGATATTTTTCATCTCCTGGACCACTTTGATGGAGGATTGGGCGCACAATGGGTGTTTCCTAGCTTCGTGATGCCTTTGGAGGTATGTAATTTTAATATGGATTTTCTTATTATGACTGGGTACAACTGGAAAACTTGGTATAACTATAGTTTGAATGTATTGGTGTTGTTTGTAGATTCTAGCATTTGAGGCCATCCCAAATCTAATGAACCAATTCAGAGAACATGTTGTATCAGCAGATCCTGAGTGCCCTAGGATGTGTAAGATGAAGTTCAAACCTAGTAGTATGAAAGGTTTTCCTATGTCGGAGTTATATGATTCTCTTGGTACAACAAAGGTTAGAGATTCTGAAATTTCTGTTATTTTTAATATCCATATGAAATTGAGAGTACAGAATTGAATGGTGTTTTTTTTTATATGTGTTCATAGGAAATTGAGAGTATCATGCTTCCTAATCCTTCTGAAAATGAACTTTTGCGTCGAATAATGGATAATGAGGATGGATCAGATGATTTTGATGATGTGATTGTTAATGGTTGGACAAGGCGTATATTTAAGGTTCACAAGCAAATTTGTTTTGAGGAGCTTCATAATATAGATGTTGGTAACCGTGTTATGGAGGAAAGTCAAGAGAATGCAGTTGTGGGTGGGGTGAGAGTTAGTAGGAGAAAGGTTGCTCCGAAGAAGGTGAGTAAAAAAGGATTGGTTGAGCAGCTACAAAAACAGTTGGAAGATGGTTTTAGGAGAATAAATAAGAAGTTTGATGGCTTTGATAAAAGACTCAAATGTGTGGAATCAGATGTGAAGAGTTTAAAAGAAGCTAGCGGGAAAGCTAATGAGTTGGATAAAAGAGGTGAAGAGAAAGTTTCTGAGTTGGAAGAAGATGAGATCGAAGAGAGTGGAGGTGAAGATAAAGAGAATGCGTCTGAGTTAGAAGAGGATGAGAATGGAGAAGATGGAGAGAAAGACAAAGAGTTTGAAGAAAATGATAATGGAGAAGATGGGGAGAAAGACAAAGAGTTGGAAGAGAATGAGAATGATGAAGATGGAGAGAAAGACAAAGAGCTGGAAGAGAATGAGAATGGAGATAATGGAGAGAAAGAAAAAGAAGGTGATTTGGAAGGGAATGACTTGGATGGAGATAAAGAGAAAGAGAAAGAAGAGTCAAGTGAGAAGAGACAGCAGGTGAAGAAGACGTACGAGAGAAAGAGAACAAGGAAAACAAGTGCAGAAGAACAAGAAGAAGAGGTTCAAGTCGGAAAAAAGGCTAAGGTGACGAAGAAGAAGGTGGATCCAAAGAAGAAGGTGGATCCGGTGGATCCGAAGAAGAAGAAGGTGGATCCGAAGAAGAAGAAGGTGGGTGTTATGGTTAGGAGTCCGATTATGACAAGGAACAAGAAGAAGTAAACTCTTTATGTGACATCTTTTTTGTTGCTTTTGGTTTGTGTCAGGATTTGTTATGTGGATGTTTAGGTATCTTTATTATGTAGGGTAACTGCGGCATTTTGTTTAACTAGGTATTACTATATTGTTTTGTTAAACTTGGTATTTTTATTATCTTGGTACAACTATGTACGTTTGTTCAACTTGGTATTTTTATTAATTATGTACAACTGCATCATATTTATTAAACTAGGTAAAACTATGTACGTTTGTTCAACTTGGTATTTTTAATAACTATGTACAACTGCATCATTTTTGTTAAACTAGGTACAACTATGCAGCTATTTAGGTTTTATTTTTGCAACATTACCAAAATTTAAATACAAATAGATAGGAATTAGAAGACAATGACTAGGAGAAATAGGTTTAATCGGACTTACAATACTAGAATTCGCCAAATACATATTTTTGAGACAAGTCCAAAAGAACTACAAAGTTGTACTTAGAAATACCAAGTTACAAGAACAACTGTGAGAAGACAACCAACGAAAAAAGGTACCATCATTTTTGTAATTTCGTTGGTTTCTATCTGTCTTCCCACCTTTAGCAGTGCAACTTCTTCTTCAAGAACACGAACTTGAAAATCCAACTGTTCTACCTCATTTACCAATGCCTCGTCCACCCACTTGAAGACATGGCTATCGTTCATAAGCTACATTCAAAATTTAAAAAAGAATTAAGAGAACGTGATCTTCTACAAAAAACTCATAAACTTACAATGAGACTTTTACGTTTCTATCATAAGCATATTTGCATCGGTAGTAGCGGCGGTAAGGATTTGGGACTGATTTGGAGATCTTTTCAACGATCTCGTCGCCACATCTACACCTCTTTGGAATCCCAGCAACTTTTACTCTTGTTCGACTAGAGGAGGTTTCACTCGAGCTCGGAGCTGAAGAAACATGGCTCATCTTTCTTTTATGGAAGGTTAAGAGATTTTGGGATTGTTAAGATATTTTAGAATTTTGTGGATTTGAGATGGAATTGGGGATATTCAGATGGAAGATGTAATTGGGTAGGGTAGATTTCGTGGGATGAGGTGAAAAAGAAATGGGGGGAATTTCAGAAATTGGAGGGAAATGAAATGGGTGAAAAAGAAATGGGGGGAATTTCAGAAAAAACGAAGTATGCGGCACTGGGAAAATCGTTCTAACATATGCCATAACCCAAAGCTCAACAAAGTAATATTTCGTGCACAAATCATATAAACTACGTACCTCCGATGTTATATTTTCTTGTTTCAAGTGAGTCATCGTAGCGGCTATTGCATGTACACAAGGATATTTGTCCAAGTCAAAACGACGGCAATAACAAGTTTTATTCCTCAAATCCACCACATAGGTCTTACCATCGCGACCAATAACACTATATTGAAGCTCGTAGGTGTTAAGCTCCTTCACCGTTAATTTGATTGCAACCTCACATGTTTCGTGTATGTCGTTCTCCACAAAAGGAACAAGTTTCTGTGCATTTGATCCACCTATGGCTTCTGTCCTATTATTGCAGAACCATTCTGCAAATTTTTCAATAATTGAATCTATCATAGGTAACAGCGCATACCCCCTCACCTTGCTAAAAACACCATTCATAGATTCAACCGCATTACTGGTATCTATGTTGTACTTTACTCCGGGAAAATGACACCTTGCCCATTTTTCTAAATCGGTCTTATCATCAAGATATGTGGCTATCTTAGGGTGCCTTCTTCTGAAATCTGCATATTCATTCTCAAACTCAGAAACTGTACAAATGGCTGCAATTTCCCTGAATTTTTTAGCAACGTCTTCTCTGTTGTGTGTAACTTTTGTTTTCACATTCTGTGACAAATGATAGATACAGTTTCCATGGTGAGAGCTCGGGTACACTTCAGCCACTGCCTTGATAAGGCTTTGATTTCTATCAGACATGAAGACCAATTCAGGACTATCCGGTATGATGGTTTTCAGAGTTTCAAAAAACCACTTCCAAGTAACATCTTTTTCACTATCAGCTACAGCAAACGCTAAGGGATAATGGTGATGATTCGGATCTTGAGCTGTGGCAAAAATAAGAATACCGCCATATACAGTCTTCAAAAATGTTGCATCCACAATAATCACTTTCCTCATGACTTTAAACCCTTCAATGGCAGCCCCCAAAGCGACAAATAGGTACTTGAACCTTTTTTCTTCATCTAATACCACACTAGTTTTTGTTCCAGGATTCACCTTCTCTAACATATACAAATAAGAATAAATCATCTTGAAACTCTCGACTGGACTACCACGAATATCACTAACAGCTAGTTTTTTTCCTCTATAAGCAGTCGAGTATGACACTGTTGTACCAAGTTTTCCCTGAACAAGACCAATGATAGTTTTAGGATCTGGGGTCTTGAATTTACCTGGAAAACCATCATGCAATACAGATGCAACTAAACGTGGTGTGCCTCTCTTTTTTATGCCCGTAGCAGTAGTCGACCGAGAGCATATATGCATCTTCCTATATGTTCGAACCGAGAATCGAGTTGAATCCTTAGCCCTTGTAGCTCGTACATACCATTTACAACCTTCTTCAGCACATCTTACCACATACCGCTGCGTATCCGAGTTGAGTGTAAACACTCCAAATAAATTCAGAGTTGCTCCTGTCTCAACTAAATATTGCACATCATTCTTGCTTTCAAATTCTTGACCTATTACTAGATCAAGACCATCTTCCCATGGCTTTTTAAACTTAGCGTTTTGGCGTGCACGTGGCTTCTCAACATATTCACGAATACCATCATTCTCCGTACTCCTTTCCGCATTGTTATCAACACCATTTTCCACATCTCTGATAACAACATTTTCTAGTGGCTCCAAAGGCTCAGAAAGTTGTTCTGCTAGTGGCTCGTTTGCGTAAAGAGTTACGGCATCAACATTAGCTCTATCATTATCTATACCATCGGAAATCTGCTCAGCAAAATCCACACCAACTGAACTTCTTCTATGTACTCTCGACTCTTGCTCGTTTAACAGAACTATTTCCAACTCATTACTGACTTCTACATGCAAGACACTTCTTTTCTCTTTATCCAACGTTGTTAGATAAACATATACATCATCATCATTCCAAATATACGAATATGTAGGAGGTTGAACTCCCGATGGAATGTAACTCAATTTCACCTTTGTTGTAGATTCATCTATCCTCATCTTCATGCATATCTTATCTACTAACCGCGAATAAGTAATCTCCTCCATTGATGATGTCCTAAACGATAGACCGTACAAGCCAGGTACCCTTGGATTCCATTGATATGCATCTCCGGTTTTTGAATAATATCCATCATAATCAAAATGTATGTTAATTGGAAGGTTGCTCATTCTCCTGGAAAAAAAAAATACATTAACAGTTATACCAATATTACCAGTTATACCACTTCTAACAGTTACCTCAGAAATACCAGATATACTACTTCTAATAGTTATACCACGTTTCTTAGTTATACCCAGGTTTTCTCAAAAATACCAGATATACTACTTCAAATAGTTATACCACGTGTCTTAGTTATACCCAGATTTTCTCAAAAAATACCAGAGATACTACTTCAAACAGTTATACCACGTTTTTAAGTTATACCCAAGTTTTCTCAAAAATATTAAATATACTAATTCAAACAGTTATACCACGTTTTTCAGTTATACCCAGGTTTACATGTTCTACTCTATTTGCAAATCGATTCTCGGACCAAAAACACTAATCTACCTACTGTTAACAACGAATCAACCACTACAGTCCATTAAAGTGTCTTAATCGACCCATAATACATAGTTACCAACACAATGTCCATTAATTACCAACACCAATTGAAAACCCTATCAAATCTAATAGAAATCTCCAAATTTCAAACAGTTATACCAAAATAAACTAAAGACTCGATGTTAGAAGTGGAAGAAGAGAATAGGAACTGACCTAGAGATTAAAGCTTCACTTTCAATGGTGGAAGAACGACGACGAGGTGAAGACGACGACGACGTGGTGATTTTGAGTTTTGATTGATTTTGTCCCGATGAATACATGAGCTGGTTTGTGATTGGTCTGAAATCTCTTAGTTTTGATTGGTTAAAAATGTTTCTGTTTTGATTGGTCGAAAATCTCTCACTTTTGATTGGTCCGTTTATTAAGGGCAAACATGGGTTTTAAACTTTCATTAAGAGTATAAGAGTATGACAGAATTTTGGAGAGTAGATAGATCATTAAGTCAAGCTTGAGGAGCTCCAGAGATTAGTCTCCACTGCAGAGATTGTGATGAAATAAAATTTCACGAGGAAAGAGAAGAAGACACTATACGACCGGAGAATGTGAACTTCGCCGACGAGCAGAAAAAATGGTGGACTCAGTGAAAAAATTATACATTTTAAAATCAATTGGTAGTGTTCAATTTTACCAAAAACAGCCCGGTTCAACCGAAATGTCCGGTTCAACCGTGATAATGTTCTCTTGTCTTCTTTTCTTTATACGGCTGATAAGCAATCCAACCGGTCGGTCCAAATTTAAGAGCGAACACCCCCACTAATTCCCAAATGTTATACAATCATATATTTGTCTAACATAAATTTCAAAATTGTTCAAAGAGTTGGAAGGACATAATTGCAAATTAATATCAAGGGACATAATTGCAATTGTTTGAAATTTGCACTAAAAATTCAAAATTATCCGGGATATATGCCTCCTCTTATACTACATGGATCCGCCACTGAGTAAAGTACGTGATGGAGAAGATACTAACCGGCAGTGATGGTGATAGGTCCAGTGTAGTTATAAAGAGAGATCCCTGCGGAAGAGAACGCTTCAACGATGTCGAGAGGGACCTCTAACAGACCAATGGAATTAAACTTCGGTCTCTTTGTTCCACCAAGAAGGTTTGAAAATTCTCATTGTCTATCCTTAAACGAGGTCTTTTACCTTCTCGAGCATCTCCTCCACCTCGTCTTTTACCCCCATATCCTCCTCCTCGAGCATCTACTCCACCTCAAGAAGCAGGCCATGATGTTGTCGTCATATTTCCAGAATCTGCAACCCATAAAAAATTGAGACGCTTTTTACCGAAGACACATGGATGCATAGGTTGGGAAACTTTACTTCGGTGTGCAGTAAATGGAGATGAGGGTGGAGTTTCTGGAAACTCATCTCCATTTACCGCACACCGAAGTAAAGTTTCCCAACCTATGCATTCATGTGTCTTCGGTAAAAAACGTCTCAATTTTTTAAGGGTTGCAGATTCTGGAAATATGACGACAACATCATGGCCTGCTTCTTGAGGTGGAGGAGATGCTCGAGGCGGAGGATATGGGGGTAAAAGACGAGGTGGAGGGGATGCTCGAGGAGGAGGATATGGGGGTAAAAGACGAGGTGAAGGAGATGCTCGAGGAGGTAAAAGACCTCGTTTAAGGATGGACAATGAGAATTTTCAGAACCTTCTTGGTGGAACAGGAACAAAGAGACCAAAGTTTAACTCCAAAGTTTAACTCCATTGGTCTGTCAGAGGTCCCTCTCGACATTGTTGAAGCGGTCTCTTCCACAGGGATCTCTCTTTATAACTACACTGAACCTATCACCATCACTGCCGGTCACCAAAAATCTAAAACATTACACAAGACTTAACTATGAGTTCAACTTCGTAAAACAATCTAAAACATTACACATCTTGTTTCCTCAGAGACAAGATAAAAGCACTTGAAGAACTGACATCACGTAAGAGTGATCTGAAACACTTCACGTGAATCACTCACTCAACTTGCATACTTCCATGAACTTCTGGACTGCGTTATGATACTGAGTTCCCTGAAACCACACAACAAACATTAAGTATCTCGACACTGACTATTAGAGACGGAACAGATCAAAGCTATAGGAAATTCTGAATCTTGTGGAGATGATTTCTGCTCTAAGACATGAACACATGAAGAAGTTCTAAATATATCAAGATTCAAATTCCCCAATTATGTATCTTCATACAATTATTAAATGTGTATTACTGATTTGATAAATATCCTTGGGCAACTAAAAATGGTTTAGACTGAATTGACTGTTCAATCAGCAAAACAAACAATTTATTCCGTATCAAATAAATAGATGGACCAGATGATATTGACATATGGTATACTCATTCGGGAACTAGAATGCACAACGGTAAAAGATGGGATAGGTGACTTACCTCCCAGTATAGCTGATGGCAGTTCATGCATTGCCAAAACTCTAAATTTTTGTTAAATAAGCAGTTGGGTATTCTTTGGAAACCCTTTGCTGCTTCAATAGCTTCTTCAATGCTTAGAGGTTTCTGAATAAATTTCCCATTGCATTTCGTACATCTTGACATCAGCTGATTTCCGCTGATCTTTAGCTGGAAAGTCTCTATCACCTGTGCAGCTTATTGTTTCAGTAACTCAGAAGAAATCTATAATCATTCTACTGAATGTAAGAAGCGTGGTTGCGCAATAAGTAGATGAGGTTATTTTAGCTTAGTGAATCCAAACGTGAATCATGAAACAAACCATAAAGTCAGGCAGTGTAGGAGATAAGATCAACTGATTATTTATTTACTTGTTATACCGCATTAAAAGCTGAGGTTTGATATGTTCCACTCAGATTTAGTTAAAAATAAACTCGTTAAGAGATCCTAATTCTTTAAGGCAAAATTTCCAGTTTAGGTATTGCTTTCGATTAATAAATCCAGTAAACCAAATCATGCCACATTCCAGATCTTGCATAACAGCTCATACGTTAAGAATTAATTTTGTTTGTACCTCAAGTAGCTGCTCATTTTTTAGAAGGCTCTTAACTCTATATATTTGGTGCTTTGCCAAATCTTGGTGTCTCAACAATTTTGTATCTCTTGTCAATAGAACTCTGTTCTCTTTAAATGCTTGATCAAGCAACTCCCTGGAATTTGTGTCAACATCACAATTAGAAAACCCTAAACAGATATTGTTTCGGAAATATTATAATATATCAGCATCGGAAAAAAAATACCTTGAATCTGGCTTCTTCGAGTGTGGAATTGCAGCATCAATTCCCACACAACGTAGATGTTTCGCCAAACCTTCAACCTAGAGAGTAGTTTAATAAGAAACTGATTAGGATACCACATGTATTCTACTGAAACATGGTTACATTCAAGAAACAAATATCCTAACTAGGTGATGATGTCAAATTATTGATTTTTTCAATTACATAAAATAAAACTACCCTTGTCATAACAGCAGAGAAGTTTTTTGGTAAAAGCTCAGCGAACAAATTTAACCGAATTTTTCATGAGCAAGAAACTGAAATACCAATTCAAGAAAACTGCTTTCCCTCCCATTTTGTGAGAAAAATCTAAGATCAGTGATTCAAGAAACAAAAGATTGACAGAAATTGATTCAATTACCATCACATCCAAAAGAAACTTAGGACAGCCATCACCGCCTAAAGATAGGTCCCATGGCGGTGGGCCTTGCCAGTCTGCAGAACAGACCAAATGCTTATTTGTGTTCATAGAGCTTGAGGAGACACGTTTTCTTGTTTTCTTCTTGAGTTTCTTTGGTAGAAGATCAGATTCCTTCAACAGGATCCTTTCTCCATACTTCCTGACAATCTTCAACAGATTCTCATCCATCGGCATCGTGTTTAGTGTTGTTTTTCTAGAAACCACTCCATTGGCTATGTTTTGACCATTTTCTGACATCGATCTGATTACATCTGTAGCCTTGCAAAGTTTGGCGGTGACAATCTTACTGCTATAATCCGATTCAGTAAGAATTTCTTGTAAGCCAACATTTATCTCTCTAGGATCTTGCACTGTGATTCCTTCAACAAGATGCGCCTTAAATACATCGAATATTTGGAGCAAGCAGTGAGCATCTGTGGCAGCGTATAGTTTCTGTTCTTCTGTAAGAGGACGATATGACCAATCACTACATTGAAGCTCCTAAAGAATAAAAACCGGTTAAGGAAAGCCTTATTAACAGTACTTTTCTCTACCTACCACCAACCTTAGAAAAGCATTCAAGTCACTAGAAACGTGTATCTAAACGTCAAAAGAACCAAGGAAATTATTTTCCTTAAGATACATGTGACGTAAATGATATAACTAAAGCGACAGAGAGATTCACCGTGGTATGAAGATCTATCCTAGTCCCTAAACAATCAAAACTAATGTCTAAACATTCCATAGCAGAAGGTATTAAGGAGTAATCCATCCATCTTGCTTACATTATCTACTTCTTTAGGTATATGTAGACAGCCTAAAACGTACTAACATATCTCCCGGAAAGATAAAGCTACTCTTATTTTCCAGAGTTGAGATGTAACGACAACTAATTCAATATCACCAAAAGCCAAGTTCTTTCAGAAAATCATTGACAAACCTTTGAGAGAGAGATGTCCAGCATTTCCTTACATATAGCTGCCAAGCTCTTGATATCCTTTGGCGCCTTTCTCCCAAACCGCTTATGTTGCAGATAATTGTATATGCTTGTAATATCCAAGTATTGTTTCACCTATTCACATCAACAAATCACATAAGAAAAACACAATTCAACAATCCCATTTCAACAGAAGTCAATAAACACACAAATCAATACTTACCTATCTATAAACACCACACATGATCCAAACACAAGAAATTTAAGTCCAATAGCAAATAACAGAGCTAAAGGTAAAAACTTTGATAACAATTCGAATACAATCCAAACTACTAAGAACAGTTTCAACAAAAATTCCAAACTTTTCACAGATTAAACTAAAATTGAGAAGCAAAGTTAAAAACTTTCACAAGCAAATCACCTCTTGGAATCCACCTTCACAACCATGTTGAGTAAATGTCGAAGACAAGTAAACCAAATCCTGCTTAAACCGAAACCCTAACTTCAAAACATCCGGCGACACGAACATTTCATTCAACAGCTCCCACACAGACGGAAGATGAATCGAAGTCAAATCAATAAGGAAAACATCGGAGACTTCATCATCATCATCCGTGGGATGACTAAGTCGGCATGCGACTTGGAGGAGAGTGACGGTTGGAAACGACGACGTAATGGAGTGTTGTGGCTTCCATTCGGCGTCTAAGGCGATGATCGTAGAACGAGTGAAAGACCATTTCAGGTGAGTGAACTCGGGCGAGTCGGTGGATGAAACTAGATAGATCTTTAGATTGGTTTCCATTGTAACAATAACCAAGAAAAACAAAATTAATTGAAAGTTGCATTAAAGGAGAGTCTTATGTCGGTTTTGGTTTGTCCTGGTTTAGGTTAATCAAAATCGACTAACTCGAACCGAATCAATCCAAATTTTATAATAATCACAAACGGTTTAAAACCATTCTACACTTAAATCATCCAAACCAAATTTTGTGAAATCTAAATTAAATTAACATCAATTTGTTAAGAATAAAATATATTTGAATAAATACATAGAGAAAAATCCTTTCAAATATACCAAAAGTATATATAATATTAATTAAAATTTATAAATTATATAATTATTTTGTTTGAATCCCAACGAAACTGAAACAAAAAAAATTCAAACCTAACCGAAACATGAAATTTTTTGAACCAAACCGACCCTAAAATCCGAATGTCTAAGGCCTAGTCTTGTTTCCTCAAAACCGGTTGGATAAAACCAAAATAAACCGGTCTGCAAATCGGAAACCGTAACAGTGGCGCCAAATTAAAATTCCCCGGGAAAAATCCGGTGAAATCAGAGCGCGAACTCTTCTACTCACATCGGTCAAATCTCACATTTATAATCTCTCACTCTCTTTTTCTCTGGTAAATAAAAAAGTGTAAACAATGGTAGCTGTGCGACGAAGAAGAACCCAAGCGTCAAACCCTAGATCCGAACCACCGCAGCAACACATGGCGGATGATACCGATTCCGATTGGGATACAGTCTGCGAAGAATGCAGCTCCGGGAAACAACCTTCAAAGCTGCTTCTTTGCGACAAATGCGATAAAGGGTTTCATTTATTTTGTCTAAGACCAATCCTCGTTTCAGTTCCCAAAGGCTCTTGGTTCTGCCCTTCTTGTTCCAAACACCAGATCCCCAAATGTAAGCTTTTTCACAATACCCACATGTCTCTAATCTCAAAGCTTCCTTCTTTTGATTCGTTTTTGAGCTTTCGATTTTGGATCTGCAGCTTTCCCTCTTGTTCAGACTAAGATTATAGATTTCTTCCGGATTAAGCGGTCTCCAGATTCATCTCAAATCTCAAATTCTTCAGGTATGTAATTTTTGCAGATTTAGAAATCTAAATCCCTAGAAATGTGTGTGTTGTGTTGGGAAATGTTTATCTAAAGAGGAAGATGTTTGTAGATAGTATTGGGAAGAAACGGAAAAAGACTAGCTTGGTGATGTCAAAGAAGAAGAGGAGGCTTCTTCCATATAATCCTAGCAATGATCCTCAAAGGAGACTTGAGCAAATGGCGTCTCTTGCTACTGCGTTGAGAGCTTCCAACACTAAGTTTAGCAATGAGCTTACTTATGTATCTGGAAAGACTCCAAGATCTGCAAATCAAGCTGCTTTTGAGAAAGGAGGCATGCAGGTATCTATTTTAAGTTGATGTGAATTGCTCTTGTTCTTCTTCATTAATCACATCCGTAAATTCTTGGTCTTCTTGAAAGTACTCATTTGGGTTTAGTATCAACATAAAAGTTGATTTTGTATTCAATTTCATACAGGTTTTATCTAAAGAAGGCGTGGATACGTTAGCCTTGTGCAAGAAAATGATGGACCTTGGTGAATGCCCGCCACTCATGGTCGTCTTCGATCCTTACGAAGGGTACTTGACCTTCTTTTGGCCTTTTATAAGCTAAAAGAGAGTGACAGGAGAAGAATTGCATTTAGCAATCTAGAATTATATTGAATCAGATGTTTTTATACCTGAACAGGTTCACGGTAGAGGCAGATAGGTTTATAAAAGACTGGACTATAATCACAGAGTACGTAGGAGATGTTGATTATCTGAGAAATAGAGAAGATGACTATGATGGAGACAGCATGATGACTCTACTTCATGCCTCTGATCCTTCACAATGTCTAGTAATTTGCCCTGACAAACGCAGTAACATTGCGCGGTTCATCAGTGGCATCAACAATCACTCTCCGTGAGTTTCTCTCCCCTTCTTTTTGGTTCTTAAAGTCCACTGTCTGGTCACAACACTTGAGCTCCTTGTTCTGGTCCTGCTTCTGAATTATTTGGAAACATTCTAAGTATTGCTGGTCCTAATTTGTGTTTGTTGACATTTTGTGAATTGCAGAGAAGGAAGGAAGAAGCAGAATCTGAAATGTGTGAGATTCAACATCAACGGAGAAGCTAGGGTTCTTCTCGTAGCTAATAGAGACATATCTAAAGGAGAAAGATTGTATTATGATTACAACGGATACGAACATGAGTATCCAACTGAACATTTTGTATAACCCTGTGAAATACATAAGAAAATTCATTTAACCTATTCAATGTTGCTTGTTCATCAAGAAAAACCAAAATGGTGTTAGTGTTTTTGTCTTTGTTCATGCTTTAGCTGGGCTTTTAGACCATGAAGCAAAGCCTTACTTCAAGTTAGATCAAAATGTGAAATCTTTTTTTTTTTGGTAGGAATGGGGGACTATTTGTAAAAAAAATACAAAAATGGAAATATATTGAAGAAAATAAAGATTGTTGGTACGCAAGGAAAAGAGAGAAAGAGATAGTAGGAATAATGAATGAAATAGAATGGTCCAAAGAGCTAAGTCTAAAGAGTCTGACAGTACCTTCAAGCGACTTTGAGAGTTTGCATCAAAAAAAACTTTCTTTCTGATTTCTTCAGATCACTGTGGGACACAATCTTCCTTTTAGACCACACAACTTACATTTTTCATTTTTTTTTGCATTCTCCAACAAATTTATTCAATTTTGATGGATCGTACATACTACATACAACATATCTATGAGACAATTTGATAAATAATATCTCGACATATATTTATTTATTTTTTTATTCATTTTTTTCTGGACAGCATCTTGATATTTCTTTAGAGAACATTTTTTATAATGATATATAGACAAACAAAGAATAATATTTTAGTTGTTCATCACATATTCACGATATTATAACTTTGGCTACGGAGCGGACATACAAAAACGATTACTAAGAGCATCTTTATTGGTGAAAAACTCACTAATTTCTCAAATGTAATATTTTAATATAGTTTAGTTATTAGTTTAAATCAATAAAAGAATGAACCAATTATAGCTTAGTTATTAGTCTTTGGGCCTAAAAAACTTTAGGATCACCTGAGTTATCAAAAGAAAAATATATATATATATAGAAAACATAGGTCAAAGAAGTTTGTCAATTAGAGACTATAAATTCTAAATGAGAACCGTTTCTCTTTCTCTCCTTGATAGATGTCTTCAATTTGACATCACAAGCATTCAAACACAACGAATGCATTAAAAAATGCAATACAACCAAGCTGATATATAAACCTTGGATCTCTTAACATATGCCTCAAAATAAGTTAATCTATGACCAAACTTTGGTAGGTAGCATTATGATTATAAAATGTTGGATAGACTTTACACACTTTAGAATCTCAAGAAAAACAAAGTTTTTTTTCAGTTCTTATAACGGATTATTAATTTAAACAGATTCGGGGAAATTTACGAGTTTTAACTCATTTTGACATATTTAAGCATAGTATGCCGCCAAGTACTATCCATCAATGATATATAGTTGAAACCATATCTATCCACCAAACTTTTTGATAGATCGATCATTATCAATGATTTGTCTAATTGTACGTACATATATTTGTAAATCATATCACCATTTCGAATCTAACTTACAAGGTTGGTGCCTTTCACATGTTTTTTTTCTTAGGTATTAGTTAGTAGGGGGTATTGTTGATTCTACGTAAAAGAAAGGGTGTATTTTTTTATATCTTAAGAGTTTGGTGCCTTTAACAGTAACAATAATATGTGAGAATATGGAAAAACCACACAAAAGAGAAAACCATATTTGCATGCTTGGTCCCTAAGATAAAAATGATTATTATTTGCAAAAGCTACTTTTATTCTTTTAACCCCCACCATTTTTTGTCTCCTTATAATATTTGGCACTCGTAACTACTAACTAGTAAACCATCACAAAATTTACAAATCCTAATTTTATACAAAATAAAACATACTCATTGACTAACTCTTTTTCCTTAACATCAAACGGATTAATTTTTTTATTTTGGAAAAGAGTAGTTTCTTCTCAGTGCAATTAAAATTGTTTATGTTTATAATTTTATGGAGCCCATAGGAGAAAGAAAAAGGGTAAACTAGTTCATGAAGGCTTATTATCATTTATCAAGTAAGTAAATAATAATATCTAAAAGGCTTGTTCCTGAATTTTATTGGATGATCGTTCTCACGTGATTTACGCCACTCTTTCTCTAATCGACACGATGTCATGAGTAAAATACTATCATTTTCATTGAATTAGCTTAATAGTAAATTAGAAATAATTAAGAAAAAGTTGAACATTTTGTTCTTTAATTATCGAATAATACAACTGTATAACCAAAGAAGTGAAGACAAATGGCCAACATATAGGTTTCAAATCGTAAAGTAAAGCAAAGTATAAATAGAATTTGTCGTTAGGACTTAGGTTATCAGACTAACCAACTATTACCGACATCATTATTTTCTCTTGTTCCCTTAACAAAAAGCCAAATATCATTATCACATTGAAAACAATATATATCCGTGCAAATTTGATTATTAAATAATTAATGTCGGGCTGTCTTTTAATTAGGGTTATAATAGCTAATCAGTGTCGCCCCTCTTTGTCCCTACGTTAGGGTTTCTAATTGGGATCATAATCATTTCTTTCTCTTTAGAAAAGTGAAAGTTATGCTACATACGACACCACTTTTCTAGATGACTTAGAGCATGATTAAAGGCAAGCTCTTAGAGAAATCTTAAGCTTTTCTTAACATTTAATGCAATATAATTTAATCAACTTTGTGCTTTAATGTTAAGAAACGTTCCTTAGCTAAGGAACGTTCCTTAGCTAAGAACCATGTTCTAAAAATTCCCATCTATTCCGATTATTCCCCGCTTAATCGCTAGGCCCACCCTATCCGCCTCGATTAATGACTAATCCCTTAAAGAAATCAGTTACCCGATTACTCTCCGTCTAATCCGATTACTTCTCGCCTAATCCGATTACTCCCCGCCTAATTTTACATATCCCGATTATTTTTAAATTTCAAGTATAAAAAAACTTTTTATTTTTGTTATTCAATCATTTAAATTGGGAGTTTGTGATGTTTTACAATAACTTATGTTCAAATTTTAATTTTTAATTTGCAACTATTATTAGATTTTCTATAATTATAAATTTTATTTTTATGTTAATTTTTTTTCTTCTTCTAAGAACCACATGTTAAGAGCCTACCATTAATCACACAAAAATCTTAACTCAAAAATACTATCTCTTAACAATCACTTTTACACATATATTACTTAAATATTGCTAAGAGATATTTCTAAGATACTACCAATAATCATGCTCTAAGCGATCCAAAGTATTGGACAAAAACTTTAAACCTTAGCAAAAATACATAAATAATTTATGTCCTAATATTGGACTAACGACTAAACCGATTAATCCACATTATATTGTTTTTGTCAATAATCCATCTTAACATCTTCTAATACATTTTTATTGTGTATTGATGTATTTGTGTTTATTTGTATTATTTACGTCACAGAGGATTTAGACTTAGAGAACTATATATTTTCTCAAAATCAATTTGACGGTATAATATATAAAATAGTTTGATTTCTTAACCAATAATTTAACGAATTAGTCATCAAACGGAGTCATAGTTACAAATAAAAAGGCAAACATAAGAAACAACAATTAACAAACAAAAAGTACATAATTTAAATCAACTAAAAAACAATCTAGGTAAGTGTTTTTAGTTAAGTGGTTAACGGTGCATTTCTGCATCTTTCTTCACTAGAGTTCAACTCTATCTAATTTTGTTACCTCGTGTAGTCGGGATTGAGTTATAGAGAGAACGAGTTTTGTGGAAATATCCAAATTGCAAGTTCTCAGGCTCATGCCACAAAGGATTAATTATCATCAATATGCTTTTATTTTAGTGAGTCATGTAAAAATGGTTAGCATATTACTCAATAAGTTGTCCTTTTTACTGTTTTTAAAATTTTCATTTTGCTTTTAAATCGCACCCCTTTTGATTCCTTGTGTGTAATTGTCGTTGATTAAGGGTTAAATGATGACAATAATGTTGGCACGGGTACGATCTGGTCCCATTTGGTTACCGACGTTTACTATTTCTCTACTTTTAATTTAATCTTTAAACCGTTTGATCAAAGAGACTTATTTGAATTGATCTTTGAAACAAATCGCCAACGTTGGTTTTGTAATCATACTTCAAAAAGCATTATAATTGTGTTTGAAATGTACACATAGTTTAATGGACTTCGGCCAAATTGATAGGAAGCTTACTTAGAATAATCTAATATAATTTGACACAATTGACAGTGGTTTTGACTTTTAAGACTAGAAACAAAAATTTGAGTTAGCCAGATGATTTTCATAGGGAACCACTTTTCATAAAGTATCGGAACATTACTATGATTCCATAAATTTAATTTTAATTTGCTTTTTTATTCCCCACTTAAAGCATAAATGTTACAGCTGACTTTTCTGTTATTTAAAAAACAATTATACATAACGGTAGGTACAATAGTTAACAAACTTCTGAATTTATTTTTTCAATATGCTTTTACAATAAATGATGAAATTAAAAAAAATATATATATATATATATACGAATCTACCAAATTTTATTATTTACAAACATTTGTGTTATTTTAATATAAAATGCTTTAAGTATAAAAAGTCTATACTATTTAAGTTTAAGTTTATATATTATCGAGTTGGTATCAAGAATTTGTGAAAGATGATAGTATTGCATACGATCCACTTTCATTTGTTGCCTAGGAGTCCATAACTACTAGTAATAATTTTGTCTATTTTTGTTACCGTAATTACCCGAACAAAAATCTAAAGAAACTTGTCAGATGGAACATAATCCTGATTATGTTTTTAGTTATTTTGGACTAAAAAAAAAGAAAATAATTTAAGTTTATATATTATCGAGTTGGTATCAAGAATTTGTGAAACTTGATAGTATTGCATACGATCCACTTTCATTTGTTGCCTAGGAGTCCATAACTACTAGTAATAATTTTGTCTATTTTTGTTACCGTAATTACCCGAACAAAAATCTAAAGAAACTTGTCAGAAAATTTCTGAAGGAGTTGTGTCGGGCTCCAATATATGGAGACAACAACTAATTTTACTAATATAGTAAAATGGACAAAATTTGTGATCTCATCTTGCATCAGTTTTATAATTGGTTTTTTTTCGCTCTAAATGCTCATGTTTGTCTCTTACCTAATCTTTAAAATAGACACACACGTACGCAACGCGTAAATAATTAATTAGTTCAAGAAGTGGTTTTCAAAGACTTAAGGACCAGTAATTATAGTAATAAAAATTTGATTGGTCGTTAAGTTTTCTTTATGAAAAGACGAATCCGAGGCTGCTATATGCATGTATGTTATCATAGGATTTACATACAATCTGAATTAAGCTTGGGTACATTATGTTTGTAGGAACAAAGTGAATTCCAATCCAACAACATGTTTGTAAAAATTAAAAAAAAAAAAAAACATGTTTGTAAATATTGATAAATATATAATAAAATATGGTAAAATCAAATATTTTCTGAAGTTTCATTATTTAAAGTAAAACATATTGAAACATTTAGTGGGAAAATCACGGTATACTTTGGGAAAGAAAAAAAAAACTAAGCTTAGACTTATCGGATCATAATAATAATGTTTCGAACTTTAAGAAAATTAAAGTGGTTCCATATGAAAATTATTTGGCTAACTCAAGTTTTTGTTTCTAGTCTTGACATTGTTATGGAATTGAAGAGAGATTCTACATCAATCTTTAATTAAGCAAATTCCATTACCGACAAAAAAAAAACTAAGTTTTATTAGGAGTATTCATGAAAGAAAAAGGACATTTGATTCTCCCTCATCACTTCCTCCGATCATATCCTTTATGATCGAGTATATGTGTATATCAAGTTGATTTAGTACATCAAATTTCATTACTCGAGTATATGTATTCATGTATATACAATAAATGGTCTATATAGTAACAAAGTTTATCGGTATCTAAATCTAGTAAGCACTTTTGATTAGATTCTTCTTTTGATTAGTTGTTGTTTGTTTTTTGTTTTGTATAAGCTTGGAAAAAACGCATTCTATTATAAATAAGTCGTATATGCAAGCATGAGCACCTAATCCACCATGCTTACTTTTCCTATGCACTTTTCTTATTAAACCTTAGATGTTTTTTTTTGTTTTGTTAAAATTAAACATTAGATGTTATGCTTGACCGTTCACAAATACTAATTAACGTACGTAAAACAATACTCGCTCTGTTTCAAAATATAGGATGTTGTCTAAAAGCACAAAGTTTAAGAAACTAATTAATTCTTTTAGTTTTTAGATATTTACATTAAAACATAATTTAATAAATAGTTAAAGATAATTTGGTCAATGATATGCTTTACTACAGAATCTAAATAGTCACAAATTATACAAATTTATTTTTTGCATAGAAACTTGAACTGTTTTTCCTAAACATCATATATTGTGAAACAAAAATAAAATGCCTAAAACATCCTATAATATGAAACAAATGGAGTATTTTTTTCTTCTAAAACTAAACGATGGTAATTAATAGCTTCTAATATCCAATATTCTTTCTTAAGATCTCGAATTAGAAAAATAAGTCATTAATACTTTCCGATCTTTCGGTACTTACAATGTCCGATTGTTAGTGTCAAATTTTCATTTGAGACTTTGGCATCATAAGTGTCAATTACCAGCATCTCTCTTATTTGAGAGTTTATAGCTCATGTAAGATGTTACTATCGTTTGACAAGTTTGTGCAACATTTGACGATTTTTTTTTTTTTTTTTTATGTACTTCATATAAATGAAAATATGCAATCGATAGCAAAAAAAAGGTTACTAGATTGATTGATAATATTATTTGATAAAACAGTATATTTATTTTTGAAATTTGGAAACTACACTAATGATCGACCGATCGGTCTACTACCGCTACATATACAAGTTGATATTTTTTGTTTCTTTGGATGATTTGTATTCTTAGATATCAACGAGGATTGTGTTTTTGAGTGTTTAGTAACCTGTGGGCAGTTTTTGGGATTTGCTTGCAAAAAATTATTGCAAGATGAAATCATCCATGTGACATGTGAGCGATGAAGATGGGAAAGAGAGTTGGTTAGAGATTAATTATTACCAATTCTCTCTGTGGTTGTATTTTTTTATTTTTTTTGGTTATGTCAAAGTTTTTCTTTTACTATAGTTCTTTGAAATTTATGCAGTGTCTCCTTTACCTCTATATTGATTATCACAAAAATTTTAAATTAGATATCAGAGTTTTTCGCTTTTACAAATTCAACTTGCGAGTAGAACGAGTAATCATCTAATAATCAATCATAAAAACTTAAAAATATACAATGACACATTATTTTTTATTTTTTTTTGTTTGTTCAACCATATAATGACACATCTTAAATTTATTTTATCAATAGCAATTCCAGCTGTTTCAATTATTAAATTGGTTTTAAAAATATAAACAAATTTAATAGTATAACATTCTAGTGATAATCTAAGGAAGTACTTACACATAAGTATGCTAATCCTAATTCTTTTCTCTTAAATTAATGTGAATTTGGGTGTTTTCTATTAGGAAACAAATAAAGAAACTCATTATAGTATTGAGAGAATTCAACAGTCTCTCGTGTGCTAAATTTGTTGTTACTTGTTTGACTAGATTATTACCCTTAGTATACTATTCTTTATAATATTCCACATATCCGTCTAATCTTGTATGCTTGTATTTGGAAAATAATAAACATATGATAAAAAAAAGTAGAGTAGAATAATAATTAAAATGACGGTAGAGAGGATAAAAAAAAAAGGAAGATAACATAATTAATGTGTCCGCACAGTATTATTAATAAAAGGAAATTAAATGTCCTCCCAAAATCAGATTCGGACAATCTTCCAAACTATAATTATTTCTCTTCCTTCTTCTTCTTCCTCTGTGCCACAAATTCTCTCTTTCCTTCAATCTACGCTCAGACAAAAAGAAAAATATCCAAATCAACTCTTTTTTTTTTTGTTTATTCCAAAATCTGTAATAAAAACCAGAAAAAATGAAATAAAAAAGAGAGAGAAGAGTGAAAAGAACCCACATGGTTTCTTCTAGATGTTGTTGTCTCATGGTTTCTTCGTTTTTCTGAGCTCTCCAACATCATAAATCTCCACATGTAAGAAAATTATTAATAATGTAAAAAAAAATCTGCATGTGTTGTTGGATTAGTTTGTTTTTATAGTTTCTGAATTTTGTATGATTTTGATTTCTTCTAAATTTTTATGGCTTCAATTTTTCGATTCAGATTTGTTTTTTTTTTTTTACCTTGTCGATTATTTAACATTTTGATCGGGATCTATGTTTGTTCGATCGATTCTAGGTATATTTATTTTATTTTTCCATTTTTTAATGTTCTTATCTTCCTCTGATTATTTTACTAATTTTTAAATTTTCTCGGTTGGTTTTTATTTTGCAGGCAGCTTTGAGAATTGAGACCAAAAGGAGAAATGGAATCACTAATTGAGGAAGAAGAAGAAGAGTCACGATTTTTCGATGCTCGCGAAGAAATCGCGTCTTGTTCAAGTACAAGTCCTTATAGAATCGAGTACGATGAATCACCATCGTCGATTTCTGGGGAATTTCGTTACGATGTTTGGATCAAAAGCCCAGGAAACACTGAGGAGCGTCGTCAGAAGTTTTTGAACTGGATGGGTTTAAGTAGTAGTGTGAGCGAAGATAAATCAGGTAATGTGAATCGTTTATGGAGCTCGGTTAATGAATCAGCGGTTTTGATGAGTTTGAAATCTGATGATGATGAGTTTAGCTCTTGTCGTTGTGATTCTTCTGTGTTTAGTCCAAGTGAGAATGTAGATAGAATTGTGAAAGAGGAAGAAGTAGATAGTCGAATGGTTTTGAGGAATTTGGGTTTTGGTGATGATGATGATGATGATATTAGCTCTAGTCTTTGTTCTGTATCATCATCGCCTGTATCGGGTTTAACGGATAGGATTGTGAAGGAAAATGGTGAAGCGTTACCAGACCCGATGGTTGCTGCGGAGGTAAGGGATGTAGGTGGGATTATGAAGAGGGTTAAGGAGAAATGGTTGAGTCGGTTGTACAAAGTGCGGAGTAAGCGAAGTGCGGGAGATGATAATGGTGGTGAAGTTGCGGTTTGCGGGAGTAGAATTGAGAGAGTTAAGGTGAAAGAGTATAAGAAAGAGGCTAGGGAGCTTTCTGCTCTTTTTAAAGGTCAAGAGATACAAGCTCATGAGGGAGCGATTCTCGCTATGAAGTTTAGTCCTGATGGGAGGTATCTTGCGAGTGCTGGTGAAGACGGGGTTTTGCGGGTTTGGAGTGTTGTTGAAGATGAAAGATGTGAAGAACATGACGTTCCTAAGATTGATCCTTCTTGCATATACTTTGAAGTGAGCAAACTCTCTGAGTTGAGACCTGTGGCTGTAGAAAAGGATGGGATTACTGGTTCATTGATGAGTCCAAGGAAGACAACAGAGTCTGCTTGTGTTATTATTCCCCCAAAGATTTTCCGGGTTCTTGATAAACCACTTCACGAGTTTCTTGGTCATAGTGGTGATATCCTTGACATCTCATGGTCCAAGAACAATGTGAGTTTGCTTTCTTGAACTTCCTTTTAGTTCTTACATTGATGCTTTGAACCGAATTCTAGGTTAACGTCCCTCGTCTTAAACTTGATTTTAGAATCATAAGGAGCTGCTTTTAGAACTACCTAGACACATTTTTTTTAAAGCCTATTTCGTTATGTTTTGAGATCTGTAACACACAAGAACGTAGATTCAGTCCCTGTATGTGTAATCTTGAACAGAAAACTAGACCGAGTTGCTCATTCTGTGATATTGGTGGCAGCGTCTGTTGTCAGCTTCAGTAGACAATAGTGTTCGGCTTTGGCAGATCGGCCATGAGGACTGTCTTGGAATCTTTTCTCACAGTAACTACGGTAATTTTCTTCTCCGTCTGTAAAATGGCACTGTTGTGGATTGTTTTCCTTTCCTCCCTTGTTAGTTGATCATTCTATTGTTTTTTGCATATTTGCAGTTACATCTGTTCAGTTTAACCCGGTGGATGATGATCACTTCATCAGTGGTTCGATAGATGGAAAAGTTCGTATCTGGTCAGCTTCTCAGTGCCAAGTTGTAGATTGGGCCGACGCCAGGGGCATTGTAACCGCAGTTTGTTATCGCCCAGATGGGCAGGTGTGACTCAGAACCAAAAATCCTTTTTTTATCGACTTGACTCAGACTCAGGTTTTTTTTCTAAAACAAGAATACTTTTTCTGTTTCAGGCAGTGATTATCGGAACTTTGACAAGCGATTGTCGCTTCTACAATGTATCAGGTAATGCTCATAAGTTACACCCAGCTACATGGGCTTGTCTTAAAAAACTCCAGAGTTTGAGTAAATGTTTCTAAGAAACCTGATTTCTAACATTGTTCTCTCGCTTTCTGGTTCAGGCCACTGCCTTCAACTCGATGGTCATATATGTCTGCACAACAAAAAGAAGTCGTCGAATAAACGAATAATCGGCTTTCAGGTGCATATTTCTTCTCAAATGAGACGAATATGTCTCCCAAGATTTTGAATATTTTATAATGATGCTCCGCTAGTTTCTTCTGCAGTTTGATTCAACCGACCCAAGCAGAGTCATGGTGGCATCCGCAGATTCACAAGTGAGGATCATTAGCGGTCGCAACGTTGTCCACAAATACAAAGGTAATGCTTCTAAAGACATACTACATACATTAGTCGAATGAAAATATGCAAATTCTGAAATATGTTTCTCTTCTAGGATCTCGAAATGCCGGAAACCAAATATCGGCATCTTTTACAGCAGACGGGAAGCATATAGTATCGGCGTGTGACGACTCCTCAGTCTACGTCTGGAACTGCGTTGGACACAACCCTGAACAGCCGTCTCCTGGTTTTTTCTCTCACACCAAACGACTTAAAATCCGATCATTCGAAAAATTCTCTGCAGATGTCTCAGTAGCTATCCCGTGGTGCGGGTTTACGCATGTACTCTCCGGTGGATCCGAGCTATCGCCATCGCTCTTCTCACTGGGGCGCGAGTACGTTCTCGATTCTCCTAAGGGATCCGCCACTTGGCCGGAGGAGAAGCTAGCGAGCTCATTTTCTCCGGTTAAAGCGATCCGTAGATCTCATTACAAATTCCTCCGATCGTCGTGCCGGAGAACGTCGGAGTCATCTCATCTCTGGGGATTGGTTATAGTCACCGGAGGGTGGGATGGACGGATCAAATTGTTTCACAACTATGGTTTGCCTGTTCCCGTTTGAAATCCAACGGCTACTAAACGCTCCTTCTCAAACGTCGCCGTACAAACTCGGCAAGTGGTGAAGTTAGAACCATTGTTTTGGAGTCTTATATGGGCCTAACACGTTGTCCCGGTTTTTGACCCGGTGGTTGGTAGCTGAGTCTCACAAAGTTCGGAGCTAGCCTGACCTGAAGGTTGGGAATTGCTTCAGGGGAGGGAAAACGAAAAGAAGAAGGGGTTACTCAGATTTTTGTCTTTTTTAATCGTAAAAATTATTAGTATTATACTTGTCTGTGTTTTTTGGTTTTGTTTTGTAAGTAAATAATATATAGGGAAATGTAACTGAGGCCCGTTTTTTTCGTGTATATACCATGGTTTTCTCTCCATTACAATATATTTTGGTACATAATACACTGGTCGTAGAAAACCTTGGATCATGGTTTGAATCTCCCTTACACATTATAAACGAAACTTATAAAAGTCATGCAAATTTGAGTTTGCTGAGAACAGTTGCGGTCGTTAGATTCATATTGTGTTGTTTGTATGTATTAGTTTGGTTTTATTTTAGAATGGAGTATTTTTCTCTAAAGAATTAAGTCTGCGACGACCAGTAAGTAGGTTATGCTTAATTGCTTATACATGACCCTTTCTTTAAGATATCTCTCTATTATGGTTTTTGTTTCAAGTGTGAGCAAGAAACTTGCATAGTTCTTTTCTTCCATTCCAAGAAATTATTATTCCTATCTAGATAAGAAGGAAACCAAGTATTTTTGGCTTATAGACTCATAGACCGCAGATTATATTTCACTTTAACAAATAGTTAAAAAACATTTTAAAGTAAAACTGGAACCGAAAGAAAATGTAAATTATCTTTGCTGCCAAAATGCTGACTCATTCGACCGCTGATAATCTCCCGAAGACAAAGCAAAGCATATTTTGGTGAGCACACAAACACATAGTAGTAGTATACCAGCGTTATCCATTTATCCTTCTTTCTCCAATTTGATGTTTTGATTCTTGAACTTAACCATGAATTATGTGCTACCATTTTTCTCCATTTCTTCGTTTATTTCTTCCATTACTATGTTTACTATGGCTGGAGTTCTAATAATCTTCTCAACAGGTATTTTTCTTTTACCATTTTAAATCTTTTTACTTCACCTTTTTTTTTCATAATCATTCTGAAATAGTGAAATCTATTTTCTTGTGTTTAGTCATCCAAATATATATTTATTTTTTTATTCTTTTTATGTAGTATATATATATGTTAATATTTGAAATCAACGGTTATTTTGGTCATGATCAGGTGCTGAAGCGAGTATTGGTGTAAACTACGGCACAATAGCTAACAACCTCCCTCCGCCGCAACAAGTAGCGGAGTTCCTCCTCCATTCAACCGTCATTAACCGCATCCGCCTCTTCGACACCGATCCTCAAATCCTCCAAGCCTTTGCTAACACGGGTATCGCCGTCACTGTAACCGTCCCCAACGACCAAATCCCACACTTAACCAACCTCTCCTCCGCCAAACAATGGATCTCCGATCAAATCCAACCTCACTTCCCATCAACAAACATCATTCGTATCCTCGTCGGAAACGAAGTCATCTCCACCGCCAATCACCTCCTCATCAGAACCTTAATCCCAGCAATGCAATCTCTCCACACCGCCTTAGTCTCCGCTTCTCTCCACCGTCGAATCCAAATCTCAACGCCACATTCTTTAGGAATCCTCACTAATTCAACCCCACCTTCTTCCGCTAAATTCCGGCGAGGCTACGACACAAATGTCCTCAAGCCTCTCCTTAGCTTCCTCCGATCTACTTCTTCTCCGTTCGTCGTCAATCCTTATCCGTTCTTCGGTTACTCAATCGAAACTCTCGATTTCGCTCTCTTTAGACCTAATCCAGGCTTATTCGATCAACACACGAAGCTTCTCTACACAAACATGCTCGATGCTCAGCTTGATTCGGTTTATTCCGCCATGGATAAGCTAGGGTTTTCAGATGTTGAGATCGTGATTGGCGAAATCGGGTGGCCATCGGAGGGAGATATAGATCAGATCGGCGTTGATGTTGATACAGCGGCTGAATTTAACAAGAATCTGGTGACGCGTGTAAATTCCGGTACCGGAACTCCATTGATGCCAAATCGGACTTTTGAAACTTACATTTTCGCGCTCTTCAATGAAAATCTCAAATCCGGACCAACGTCGGAGCGTAATTTCGGCATCTTCCGATATGATTTGACTCCGATCTATGACATCGGAATCCTCCGGCCAACGGTAATCAATCGCCGCCACATTTCAAAACACGATTTAGTAACATTTCTTTATGGATTTGGTTTTGTGAACTGACAGTATAGATCGTCGAATCCGGAGAACAGTCCTCGATCACCGGTTAGAGGATCGCCGGAGAAGCGGTGGTGCGTTACAAAGCCCGGTGCTGATACGGTGGCTTTACAAAGGAACATTGACTACGTATGTGGATTGGGCTTGGACTGTAGGCCCATTAATGAAGATGGGCTTTGTTTCTTGCCGAATACAGTGAAAGCCCATTCGGAGTACGCAATGAACTTGTATTACCAAACTATGGAGAAACACGAGTTCAATTGCGATTTCGACAACACTGGAGAGATAACTACGATTGATCCAAGTATGTTTCATTAATTAAAATATAGTTTAGGAAAATTAACTAATTTTGACTAATTGATTTTTCTTGTTTTACATAATATTTGCAGGCTATGGAAATTGTGAATATCAGGCTTAGTAAGTTTACCTTCTTATAAAAACGTACAAAGTGTTTCATCACATCTAGCTGACTAGCTGGTTTTAGTTTTTATTTTGTAAATATTGAAGTGGAATTATCAAAATCTACACATATATGCATATGATTTTATACAATTTTTCTGAAGAAAGTTTAAAAGATATTTTAGAATGCAAAGAAACTGATCATGTTGATGTGATGACGATGTTCAATGAGTTAATGATATATGTTTATTTGATGATGATACATTGATACTATGCTGATAATTGCAACTGAATATCACATTTTATTTTCTTCTCAACGAAATAAACACAAACCTCCCTCTTCCTTTGGATAACAAACGTCCTCCCATGCAGTTTTAGCTTAACCGGACCAAAGATATGCGTCTCAAATTTGGTCTCAACAGTTACAAGATATTCCTTCCGATTTGTTTTATTTATCGTTATAAAGATAAAATTTTGTTTTATATTTACTTGTTATTTTGTATTTACTATGTATATTTATAATAAGTTTTCTCGTCGTATCTATATTTTTTTAGCTTATTAATTACTTATATCAAACAAAATAGTGTATTAATTAGGGATAAAACAATAAATTTGTGTAAACTGAACTAAACCGATAAGTAATATGAAACTGATGGAATAACGTTTTAAATTTGGTCTCTACAGTTACAAGATAGCGTTTTAAATTCTTTTTTTTTTTGTCTCAATATTTAATATAAGTGGCTTGATGCCAAATGTCATATGATTGGAATTTAGTCAAAAGTTAACTAATAAAGACGAAAAACCAAATCTCAGTTTTCTAAAATTGTTTTTATTAAAATACATATATATTCCTTTCAAAATATAGGATGTTTAAGTTAAAAGCATATATAGTTTAAGAAATTTATTTTTCTTTTTAAAAATATCACTTAATATTTGATTTTTTAAAAATACCAACTATAAAAAAGACTGCAGAATATAAATAGTCAAAAATATCAGCTACATTTAATATTTACATTGAAAGTTGTAAAACATCCTATATTTTGAAACAAAAAAAAAATTCATAAAACATCATATAAAAACAGAGGAATATTTAAAAATCTATAACTATTAATTATTATTTTAATTTTTCTAGATTTAGTTATTGAATACATCTCCTAAATTGAAACATATGGACCCTGTCAAGAGATGAAAGAATAATAGGGAGGATTCACATATTCGTTTTTGCTTTGACTATATTGATTGTCCATAATTTAGATAATAACGGATTCATCTAGTCAGTGTGATGCGTTACCTTCATAATTACGATTGACTAATATATATATGTATCTCAACTCAAAGAAATTATAAAAACCAATTCACAATATCACCAAAACAAATATTTTTTATAGAGAATCTGACTTAAAGATGAAGCTGGTGATACTAGTATCCCTCTTGCTCGTTCTCCCAATGTTTTCTTCAGGTATATAGATCAACTAACATATGCATGGATACTTGCGTAGCTCTAACATTTTATATAGATCAATATATAACTCAGATTTGAATAAATATGCTTCATCATATGTTGTTAGGGATCGTTGAGAATTTGCATCTTCACAACGTCAACCGTAAGGTATTAACAATCACGGTTCTAAAAGCGTTATATATTGATTACAAATATGCATAAAAAAAAAAAAGATATAGTATTAACTTGTTGATTTAAAAGGTGAAAGAGGTGGTCATGAATGGAAGAAGAATCGATCTAGAGATGGACTACGATGGGCCTCATGTAAGGCCGCCCAAGCCATCCGACGGCCCTATACATCCGAGAACACAAGTACGTGCCTATAGCAAAAAACATCACAAAAATAGAAAAGTATTCTTTAAAAATCATGAATAATTCCGTTAAATTCAATAACAAAAATTATTATTACATTTCCAAGAACTTATAAAAAGATGTTGTGTCCTTAAGTAAATAGTGTTTTCCTTTTTTTGATAGTGTATGATTTTTTTTTTATGATAAATTAAAAACAATTGAGTTTGGTTTTAAAAGGTTGATGAGGTTGTGACAAAGGAACTAACGGTCTACGACTATGGGGACTTTTCTCCACGTCCAGTCCTAAGACGACCGATGCCATATGTACCTCCTCCTCCTCCTCCTCCCTCACGACGACCTCCATTCACCATCAATCACTAGACCATTAATTTTACTAAACAACTCTTGTCATTAGACATTCGTCTTCATCGATGTAGTAAATTCTAAATAAATAAAACGAAATTTGGCAAAAAAAAAAAAAATATCAAAGCTGTGAATGCATTGATTTGGTTTGGTAATACAACAACAAAGGTGTGAAGAACATTGAAACTCTTGTTATAAGATCTCAAGTGTAATACTCCAACAAATAGCCAGGACCGGGCTTGTAAGGATCAGCTTCTACATAAGCCTCAGGGCGATCAAAACCGAGATCGTTCACACGGTTGCTCAGAACATGAAAGATGGCTTTTTTGGAACCTCCATATTCGTCTCTGTTCTTTTCCACGTACTCTGTTGCTTCAGCTGCTACACTATTGACAAATTCAAACCGATTGTCTTCCCTCAAAAGCAGCTGCTCTATGTCCATTGTCATTACTTTCCCAACTTCTCTTATCTTCCTTACTTGTTCCTCCACAAATGGAACTCTTTGCATTTTGTAACGCAACATATCGTCCTTCTTCGTCTGCAGACAAAACAGGACAAAGATATGTAGAGGTTAAAAGGGCCTGACACGGATTGCAAACCTACACAACTGTTTGATCTCTGACTATAATCTATGGGATTGGAAAAGAATCCAGACAACGGTTTGAGAAACTTTAGAGCAAAAATATAAACAAAGACTTTGCATTGTTCTGGCCTTGGTAATTATGAAACCTCAAAACCTCACGAACCTGATACGATCAAACTACAGAAACTCATAGTTTGTAGAATATAAGAACAAACTATTTTATATAATGTGTAACTCCCACCTAAAAATCCCAGTATCTCAGAAAAGACAAGACAATCTCCATTTTCTTGCATGTACCATATAGATAAAACCATGGTTACTTGAATATACACTAAGTGAACACTAACTAGAGCTAAAAGCCGTGTGTCTTTAAGTTCATCTACAGTATAAGAACTAAGCTAGTGTCTGAAATGAGCAAAGTTCAACAAAGACACTGATGAAACCAAGGTGTGTTAAAGCTAATTTGGAATCAAGAAGGGTAAACTAGAAATCCCAAAAACTCAGAAAAGACAATCTCCATCTCTCCTTGTATGCATCATATCGACTACTGTAACTAAGTAAAGACTAACTAGAATTAAAATTCACTGATTTTTCTTCAAGTTCATCTACTGCATCACAGAAATGAGACAAATTTCAAACTCAGAAACTCATCGTCAGTGTGTTAAAGCTAATTTGGAATCAAGAACAATGCTTTCTTCTGGGATCCTACTAAAAATTGCAGCTTTTTCGTAATGTCTTCTCCAAGCAAAGCAAAACCCTAATTTAATTTTGGTCATAACATGGAACTGGAAAATGACCAAAATCTCAAGTTTAGTTCTTACCAATGTTCTCCTCCGCCAAACACGACGTCCATTATCATCTCTCTGAATCCCACAAGAAACCTGAAAAATTCAACCAGATTCACTCAAAATTTTTCCCAAAATATCACATTTTATTTTCTTCTCAACTCAATAAACACAAACCTCCCTCTTCCGTTGGATAACAAACGTCCTCCCATGCAGTTTTAGCTTTATGATAGTTGTTCTCAATTGTTACAAGATATTCCTTTCATTTCGTTTTATTTGTCGTTTTAAAGTTAAAATTTTGTTTCATATTTACTTGTCGTTTTGTATTTACTATACATATTTATAATAAATTTTCTCGTTTTGTCTCTAATTTTTTAGCTTATTAATTACTTGTCTCAAACAAAATAGTGTGTATTAATTAGAGATAAAACAATAAATTTATTTGTTTTTTTAATTTGTGTGAAATGAACTAAAACGATAAGTAATATGAAACGGATGGAATAGCGTCTTAAATTCCTTTTAGTTTGGTCTCTATAGTTACAAGATAGCGTTTTAAATTCCTTTTTAATTTGGTATCAATATTTAATATAAATGGCTTGATGCCAAATGTCATTAGATTGGAATTTAATCAAAAGTTAACTGATAAAGGCGAAAAACCAGATCTCATTTTTCTAAAACAAAATTTATTAAACAAACATATACTAGATAACAACCCGCACGATGTGCGGGATGAAGTGATTCAAGTAAAATTATTATGATTAAAATTATTATCTGGGATCCAAGATCCGTTTGTGTAAAGCGAAACATGTTACAATTTTTTTTTGTTTTATTCAAATTTGGGACTATTTCATATAAGAATATGTTTTACCCGTGAAATATTTGAACCTTGAATAAAGCTTCAACGTGATAAAAAAGTATTGACGAAATGTTACCATTTATGGCAATATGTCTTTCCGTATGTTTTAAAGATTTCGAGATTTTGTAGTATAAAAAGATTTTTTTTTTTTTAATAAGTATAAGAAATCCAAAATTTAGCAAAGATGAGATTTGATAGTTTCCAAGCTAAGATTTTGTAGTGTTCCAAATCTAAGATTCTTAGATTATGAATGGATTATTTACGAAATGGTTATAATGTGGCCAGATTTTGGTTTATATACAAATGTGGTTATAATGTTTTTCTTCGAAAAGTTAGAACTCCTCCAAAAAATAGGATTTTAAGTATTCGTAACATATATAGAAAGGAGATTATCTTATTTATTTAAGTAAAAAATTTATGAAAGATGTAAAGATTTTGTAGTTTTGAATTCGAGATTCTTGAAACAAATGTATATATTTTATCATTTAAATATAAACATAAATATAAATATAAATAAAAAGATTGTTTACCCATCCGCTAAAGAAAATTTATATAAATGTATATAAAGAAAAATATAAATATAAAAAGGGGGATTAGCAAAAATACCCCTTTTCTCATGCCCCTTTTCAAAAATGCCCCTTTTAGATGTCCATTTTCAAAAATGCCCCTTTTTAAATCTGAAATTTTTATAAAGTTTTATTAGGTTTATAAGGTACTTATGGATTGTAACTACTACTTGAAGACTCGATCCAAGTATTTATAAGGTTTTATAAGGTGTTTTTAAAGGTTTTACAAGTTATTTTAAAGGATTTTTAAGGTTTTTCAAAGGTTTTACAAGATATTTTTAAGGTTTTTAAAGGTATTTAAAATGCATTTATAAGGTATTTATAAAGTATTTATAAGATTTTAGATACATAGAAATGTAGTTTGTGTATATTTTAATAATATTACATACATATTTGGGTAAATCTTATATTTTTAAGAGCATTTTTTATAAGGTTTTAAAAAAGGGGTATTTTTGAAAAGTGGCATTGAAAAAGTGGCATTATTAACAATTTCCCATATAAAAATATAGTAATATAAGATAACCAGAAAGTGTATGTTTTTAATTATTAATGGGATATATGGATGTATGAGACTAATGGCAAATTCTGTAAATAGTCTAATAAATCTTGGGTAATTATCTAAATAGAAGCTAAATCATTTTGAGAGCGACACATCAGCGTGGCAATCTTGTTAATAACACATGATGGTAAGGTTTTTTTAAAAAAATGTTTCTCTATTAATATATAGGGGATTTTAAAATCTTTTTATTCTTATTTTAATTTTTCTAGATTTAGTTATTAATACACCTCCTAAATTGAAACATATGGACCCTCTCAAGAGAGGAAAGAATTATAGGGAGGATTCACATATTCGTTTTCGCTTTGACTATATTGATTGTCCATAATCTAGTTAATTACTGATTCATCAAGTCAGTGTGATGCGTTACCTTCATAATTACGATTCACTACTATATATATATATCTCTGTCTACATATATATATATATATATATGTGTGTATCTCAACTCATAGAAATTATAAAAATCAATTCACATATCACCAAAACAATTTTTTTTAGAGAATCTGACTTCAAGATGAAGTTGGTGATACTAGTATCATTCTTGCTCGTTCTCCCAATGTTTTCTTCAGGTATATGCATACTCAAGTAGCTTTAATATTTTATGAAGATCAATATATAACTCTGATTTGAATAAATATGCTTCATATTTTGTTAGGGATCGTTGAGACTTTGCATCTTGACAACGTCAACCGCAAGGTATTAACAATCACGGTTCTAAAAGCGTTATATATTGATTACAAATATGCATCAAAAAAAAAAAAAGATACACTATAACTTGTTGATTTAAAAAGGTTAAAGAGTTGGTCATGAGTGGAAGAAGAATCGATCTGGAGATGGACTACACTGGGCCGCATCTAAGACCGCCTGGTCCGCCCAAGCCAGCCGGCCCTACAAATCCGAGAACACAAGTACGTGCCTATAGAAAAAATAATAGTTAGTAGAACATCACAAAAATATAAAAGTATTCTTTAAAACCCATGAATAATTCAGTTAAATTGAATTAAAAAAATTATTATTACATTTCCAAGAAATTATAAAAGATGTTATGTCCTTAAGTAAATAGAATTTTTTTTTTATGATAGTGTATGTTTTTTTTAATGATAAATTAAAAATAATTGAGTTTTATTTTAAAAGGTTGATGAGGTTGTGACAAAGGAACCAACGGAGTATATCATAGACTATGGGGACTGGTCCCCACGTCCAGTCACACCACGACCGAGGCCATATGTACCTCCTCCTCCTCCTCCTCCTTCACGACGACCTCCCTTCACCACAAATCACTAGACCATTAATTTTACTAAACAACTCTTGTCATTAGACATTCGTCTTCATCGATGTAGTAAATTCTAAATAAATAAAAGGAAATTTGGCTAAAAAAAAAAAACATCAAAGCTGTGAATGCATTGATTTGGTTTGGTAATACAACAATAAAGGTGTGAAGTACATTGAAACTCTTGTTATAAGATCTCATGTGTAATACTCCAACAAATAGCCAGGACCGGGCTTGTAAGGATCAGCTTCTACATAAGCCTCAGGGCGATCAAACCCGAGATCGTTCACACGGTTGCTCAGAACATGAAAGATGGCTTTTTTAGAACCTCCATATTCGTCTCTGTTCTTTTCCACGTACTCTGTTGCTTCAGCTGCTACGCTATTGACAAATTCAAACCGATTGTCTTCCCTCAAAAGAAGCTGCTCTATGTCCATTGTCATTACTTTCCCAACTTCTCTTATCTTTCTTACTTGTTCTTCCACAAATGGAACTCTTTGCATTTTGTAACGCAACATATCGTCCTTCTTCGTCTGCAGGCAAAACAGGACAAACACATGTAAGAAAGCGCTTGACACGGATTGCAAACCTACACAACTGTTTGATCTCTGACTTTAATCTATGACTTTAAACAATTAAGTTTCTCAAACCTACACAATTGTTTGATCTCTGACTTACATTTATAGCACTGGAAAATGTACGTTTAGAAAGATTATGATTCATAAAGATAATTTTTGAGAAACTTAAAAATCCAGACAAAGGTTTGAGAAACTTTGGAGCAAAAATATAAGCAAAGACTTTGCATTGTTCTGGCTTTGATAACTATGAAATCTCAAAACCTCATGAACCTGATACGATCAAATTACAGAAACTGATAGTTTGTAGAATACAGTATAAGTACCAAGATCACTAATCTTATAAATACTGTGCGACTCTAAAAATCCCAGTATCTCAGATAAGACAATCTCCATTTTCTTGCATGTGCCATATAGATAAGACCATGGTTACTTGAACATACACTAAGTAAACACTAACTAGAGGTAAAGGCCATGTTTCTTTAAGTTCATCAACAGTATAAGAACAAGCTAGTGTCTGAAATGAGCAAATATCAACAAAGACAATCATGAAACAGGTGTGCTAAAGCTAATTCGGAGTCAAGAAAAGTAAACTAGAAATCCTTGTACCCAAAAACTCAGATAAGACAATCTCCATCTCCTTCTATGCATCATTTCAATAACTATGACCATGGTTACTTGAATATATGTAAGTAAAGACTAACTAGAAGTAAAAGTCTTGTTTTTTAAAGTTCATCTACAGTATCACAGAAATGAGAAAAGTGTAAACTCAGACCCTCATCCTCAGTGTGTTAAAAGCTAATTTGGAATCAAGAACAATGTTTCTTACGTGATACTACTAAAATTGCAGATTTTTTTGGCAAAATGTCTCCAAGCAAAGCTAAACCCTAATTTTGATTCCTGATTCCACTTAGGTCATCATAACATGGAAATGGAAAATGAACAAAATCTCAAGTTTAGTGCTTACCAATGTTCTCCTCCGCCAAACACGACGTCCATTATCATCCCTCTGAATCCCACAAGAAACCTAAAAAAATCAACCAGATTCACTCCATATTCTTCCAGAAAACCTAACAATTCGTAGCGAAAAATCAACCAAACAAAACCTGAGAGTGAAATGTGCAGCGCAAATTCCCACTTCTTGTATCAATAATCTGAAGATACAAAAATCGAAAATGAGAAATCACATCGAAATCGGAGAATGATACGTTGTCAGATATGAGAGAAACAAAGGAGCGATTTTTACAGGTAAAATCGAAGATGGAGAAGAACAGGTGAATGAAGCCATGGCTACACTATACACAGTAAATAGATAGAACCGGAATCTCTTTTATATGTAGCCTCTCCGGTTCGGTTTGATGGTTTATCTTTGGTCGTGTTCTTATTTGGACAAATCATCCTTACCCGAACCGGACATTTACAACTTTCATGTGGAATGGTTCTTTTTCTCTGTAATTTATAAGATAAAATTCAACTTACACACACGAAAAATTCTTAACCATCAAAACCAAATAAGAAATCTAAATCATATATCCAATAAGAATACTTCGTGCAGTTTTTATGTGTGAGAAATCGAAAATCGTATCTCAACAAATAAAAATTTTCAAGAAAATCAATCTAATAATAGTTAGTGGGAACCCTCTATTGTGACTTTGTGAGCTATATACATAGACATTACAAGATGGAACTTCACAATAGTTGATGAGCAAAGAAATTAACTCTATCGATCACCGGATTAAAAAGATGGCTTTTAGGAAGAATCATCTCTTAATATGTTGTATTCTCCTAGCTATGATCATGATCGGGCAGGCGCAAACCAACCGGAAACTTCTTGACGATAATGTACCATCCTCTTATTTTCCATCGATGGAATCTCGTCAAGCATACTTTCCTTCTTCTCACCGTTCACTTGGTGCTGAGCATTATGAGAGATCACCACCTCCACCACCACCAAAAAGATCATCAGAAGTTGAACCCCAAACTAATGGTGTCTAGACCATTGAGTTATGATGACATTGATGAGCATCGGTCGTGAAGAAGACTTCGTAAGTTATGACATGTTTGGAAATACCATATATGTTCCTACTATGTTGGTTTTATGTTTTTAAGAGCTACGCAATTTTTCAAGGCTTGATTTGATTTAGTTTTTGTTTTGTAATATCTCCGTTTTCTTTTATATTTATTTTTATCTTAGTATGTATTACTTTTCATTCTTGGTGACAATAAATGTCGTTTCTTCCATATGTATTTGGTAATTTAATACAATGGAAACATCGATGATACTAACCTTTTCGAATAGAATGATTCGTTGAACAAATATCATTGATAAAAAAAAAAGAATAAGGAGAATAATCTCAATGTTAGTAATCAATTTCAAAAATTGAATAAAAGCGAAAGTTTGAAATATTTATCCTTGCAACACTAATTGAAACAAAATATAAATTAAAGTAATTTTGGTAACGTATGTATTTGCTCTCTTTTCACTTCTCATCCATACCAACCAAGTAAAAAATTGTACTAGTGCAAACGTTGAACATAAACTTACACTATTATTAATATTTTATTTTGTATATTATATTAACAAGTTTCAAATACCGTAAATCATTGTTTCTATCTCTTCTAACAATGGTATGTATGAGGATAAATTATAAAACTAATAAGTATATTAGATGTAAAGGGATGCATAGACTTTTATGAGTTCAAATTCCTTTACGGAATCCTCCTCTATGATCTCGTCAAAGAAATTGATTTGGAATCTACTAGAGTAAAGTGGTTGTCTCTCTATGAGTGTTGACACTCCCAATCTAGAATTTTGTTAGCTATATTTTGATACAAAAAAGGTATACAAGTTGATCTCATACATAATTTGTTTGAGGAACTGGAACCGGCTGCTCTTGCTGCAAATTGTTCAACAAGTTGATCTTGCCGATCTTGTTCATCATGATCATCCTTCAACATTACCAACTACTCATGTGATTTACTTCTTCTATTGCTGCTTCGTTTACTACTACTTCCTTTTCTACTACTGTTAAAACTAAGTTTAAAGCGCAGATGAAAGGGCAGATGCTCACCAATTTGGTAGCTGATGTTGAAGACTATGGTGATCTAACAGTTGTGGCCTAGATTGAAAGAGGCTTAAGGCAAAAATAAAAATTATAGCCTTTTATATATAATGAATTTAAGATCAAATTCATTTTTAGAGTACAACCTTAACAATCCATTGTATCTCTACAACTTATTGAGTTATAATATAGTGAAATCATTTCCAGGTATGTGAATTTTGAACAATTATCATTCAAAAATACTAAACAATAATATAATGAAAACTTATAATATCAAAATTCTATTCATGAATTTTTGTTTGTTTTTGTTATTTAATTCTCAAAACTCACATCTTATAGTTTTCTAACCAATATTTTCACTATAACTATGATTTTGAACAAAATGTGGCTTTTAAATATTTATTTTTTAGTGTATCCTTAGGCAATTGCCTATTTTATTAAGCACAGACACGGCTTTGTGGTCTAACCAATGTTGAGCTCAACTTGAATAAGGTGCATGAGAAGATGCTTAGTAAGTACCCTCAAATGACTACTTAAGGAAATCGCAGCTGAACACTTTGAGGAAGGAAAACAAGGACTTTTTGAAAACTTTCAACTCGTTTTTGTAAAACTCCTCTCTTGGACTTTGTTTTTTCTAAAACTTCCTCTGATGTTTATGTGGCAACTTTTTTCTCTTAAGAAAAAAATCCATCGCAAGGAGAGGGAAACATGGACCTTAAAATTACTGTATAATATATATTTTGGCAAATCTGATTATTACATTACTTTATTGTTTTTATGCGCCTAAATTCTGTCTTCGCTGTCTTCTTATAACTTTCTGCACCAGAGTTCACGCGACTATTCCATGTTTCTTTGTCAGAGATATACATTGCAATCGTAAAATCGCTGTAAAATTTTCCTCTAAGCATAACTTGTTGTTAGAGATCAATATCTTCGAATTGGATTTTGTTTTCGGATTTCGTTAGTGGGATATTTTATGAATCACCTTTGTCATTGAATTAGAAAAGCTTGAAATTTTAGACATAACAGAGACATGATTTGATCTTAAAATTTACAAAATGTTTTTTTTTTAAGAACATCCAACACTATCATTGATATAAAAAATATGAGTTCAAAGGATTATTCAAAGAAAATGGCCAAGATGAATTAAGAAAAACATCCAAGAAAAAAAGGAGATTAAATTACACGTAGAGCTTATTTAGTCACCTCTTTTACTTTTGTCACCGGCCCGCTCGATTCAAACCACCAAGAGATGCTCGAAGATAAATTAAATTCACAAAAAAGAAAAGAGATAGGTTTCAGAGGCTTATAAGCCAAAAATGATTTAGCTCTCTTTGACTCTCTTCGCACATGTAACACGTATGCCGCTGAGTCCTTAATAAAACACTCACTTGAAACCTTCATTCTCTCTAGTCTCTAAAGTATTTTTGAGGCCATTCTTCTTCATTTAGCAACCACATGCACCGAATCTCCCACTCTTTCCCATATGTAATTATATATTATTACCCTTTTTCTCCAACCAAATTTTACAATTAGTTGGTTAGTTTCTTTATCTTGAATCTATATTGTTGAAATCGTCGTTATTTTTATAAAGATTTCATATGACATGAACAAACACCTCGTATGACATTTTATATTTATTAATAACATGTATTGTGTAAATTCGGATTTAGATGATGATGATGCAACGACGTTTTTTTTTTCGTTAAAAAGTTTTTTTTTCAAATAGAAGAATTATAAAGAATCGAAACTTTTTGTAAAGTCTTATTATTATCTTAAAAGGTTAACGAACGACGATACTAGCACAAATCACTAGATTCATATCTTAAAAAAGTTCAACATCTGTTCTTAGTATATAGTTTTATTACTATCTTTTTGGATATTTTGAGTTTTGACTCCTTAAACTGACGATTGTCGATCAATCACTAAGTTCTCCTAAATTAAACAAAAATACAGGTTGATCATTAATTATTAACAAATGATCTAAATAAACAATCTAATAAGTTAGTGGGAACCATCTATTAGTATGTGCTACTTACTATACATATAGACATTACAACATAGATGATACTAGTCTCTATAACCGGAAAAAAAAATGTTTTCACAAAATTATCTCTTAGCATGTTGTATTCTCCTAGCTACACTCATGATCGTGCAGGCTCAATACACTCCTCTTATTTCACTCCTCTATCGATGGACTCTCGTGAAGCTTCTCTTTCTTCTTCTCACCGATCACTTGGTGCTGCCTATTACAAGAGATCACCGCCTCCACCACCACCAAAAAAGGCTATAAAAGCTGAATCCGAAACCGAAACCGGAATCTGAACCATCGGTCGTAAAGAAGACTCGTAAGTTGGTGAAGGCTAGTGTCGGTTTTGTCTTTCATGTCGATTCGGCTGTGTGTTTGTTTTTTCTAAAGTAATCTGAGTTTGTACTACCACCATTCTTGGTGACAATAAAGGTTCGATGATTGATCCAGCTGGCATAAAAAGTGGATTAAAAGAGTTGAAAACTGCAATTTTAGTTAGGACATAAGCAACAAATTTAGAATTTAGCAATTCCAAATACATAAAACTAAAAGTGAATAAATATTATCTTATGTGGTAGGAAGTTCAAATGATTTTAAATATTGTGATTTATCTTTAAACCATTAAAAAAAAACAACTGTTAGAAAAGTACAATAAACTTCTTGATTTAGTTTAACATTTCAAGAATAAAATTGTATTAAATTTTGTTTTCGGAAATAAACTTGCAGTGAAGTTGATTAAATCGCTGGTTCTCTTGTACATTTTTCAATACGCTTGTAAAAAAATTTGCATTCACAATTTGCACAATCGTACGGTATACACAAAAATGTAACGCAAAAAAAAATGCAATAAAAGTGGGAATGTAATTTCCGGTTTACCAGTAGACATACAAAACCAGGTTTTCGGTTCAATATTCGTCCAAGTAAGTGTAGAGCGTATCGTCCTTCTTGGTTTTGCGTCGGCTAAGCAACGCCTTAAGCAGCCGTTTGCTCTTGCTCGGTTGTTGTTGATGTTCTGGTTCTTTCTGTGCTTCTTTCTCGAATGCAACCCGAACCGAAGCTGATCTTCTTGGTTCTGACGGATACTGAGCCAGAAAATATCAAGAATCAAAACCGGTAAAGCACAAAATGTTCGGAATCGGTAGAGATAGAGCCTAAAAGTGAGTGTTTGAAATGTAACCGAAGCTTACCCGTTTAGGAGTAGGAGTTACTGCTCTACTCTTGCTCGGGGTTGTTGGCCGGCTGATTGATGATGGTCGGATAGCAACTGAACCAGATCTTAGAAGCGGAAACCGATGTGGTGATACTGCTCGCTTATCTGGTTTACCAAGCACACAGTTAAAGGTTCTGTATTCACAATAAGCCAAAACAGCATTTTCAAGCTGAAGTTGTTTTTACCTTGTTCTTTCTTTGGTGCCGTGGCGATAGAGGAGAACGAAAAGGTTGCTGAACGTTGAGGTTTCCGTTGAGAGGGAGACTGAAGTACCGGTTTTCTGCAAAAAAGCAATAAACCGTAACATCAAAGTGTAATACTTTTCAGTCAATTAACAAGGGAACTCACTATGAATACTGGACTTTACCTAACGGGTGGTGGAGGCGTTTCACGAATTGTAGAACGAACAGCTTTAGGAAAGAAGAAACATATGAAATCAAGAATCAGTTTTGGAACAAATCTTAAATCTTGGACATGTAGATGTAATGGAAATTTATACCATTTCTGAATTGGTTCCAGTCCTCTTCTCCATCAAAACTACTTTCAACATTCTTTAGCTTTGCGAGGTTGCCACCCCTCTTGATTTCGCCCGCTGATAGACAATGTAGTTTTTTGTAGTAAGTCTCAAAACCGATATAAGAGAACAAAAAATTGCAGAAACATAAAGGGAGATAGAGAGAAAAACTTACAAGGCAAGATGTATCGCTTGTGGAACTTTGGAGTGTCGATCACGAGTGATTGCTGTGAACGACCTTCATGATCCATATACTCTTGGCACATCCGTAGCCTCTATACATATACAAAAAATCAGTAACCCAAAACAAGAAATCAACCTCAAAATGCCTTAAAAAAAAAAAACACTAAAGCAAACAACGGTTCACTTAATTGAACTTTTCGAACACCATTTCAAAGACAAGTTTATGAGGAATAATGGATACCTGTTCAATACAAGACACTCGTAGTTCGGTTCCGGCTACTTCATCAACTTTTTCATCGACAAAGTCATTGACTTTGTATGTAACAGATCCCAAATGGTCAACTGTATTCACCAGAGCTTTTAACGCGTAATCTTTCAGTGTCTCCACGACTCTGCATAAACACCGAAAATTTCATGAAAATGAAGAAAAAAAAGGAAGTATGACAATCAATCAGAGATGTAAGCCAAGAGCATTGGAAAAGAAAATAGTAATACTAAGAGTAATAAAATCACTCACATCTGTTTTTGTTCATCGTTTGTGTAGGATAGTTCGAAATACTCAGCTGCTGAATACAATTGTGTTCTCAGATTTTTCAGATCCTGTAAAACAAAGATGTTATATTAAAAAGATCAGACTATAATTAGTTTTAAAGACTACATCAATTGTCACAAGAAACATTCAAGACTATTCAATATCAAAATTTAGAATCTACCTTAAGACTATCAGAAAAGAGCATGCTCTGTCGCATAGAGATCTCATCGTAGTTAGATGCTTCTCGGGGCATGGGCATGGTAGCCGCTGCACTCATTTTGATTCAAAGATTGACAATGGATCAAACCCTGTTCTCTCTCTCACTGCGGAATTGAAATGATCAAATAAGAATGAGGAAAAAAAAAAACTCAAATATGTCAGTGATGGTACTGGTAAGAATACTTGAAAGCCACATTTTTATATCTTATGAACCTTGGAGAATAAAAAAGTTATCTTTGATCCTTAAAGGCTTTGTATCATCAGCTACAATTTGAAATTTCATTTGTTCATACTGCTAACAAAAAATTAAATTAAAGCACCTAAATATTAGTCTAATTAAAATTAGGGAATTCAACAAGTTCTTGAGTGTTTTGGATGACAGATCTCAAATTTCTAACATTTTAAAGTTTGTTTTAAGGAATCTCTAAACCAAAAGATTATATGATTATGTGGATGGTTTAAGGTAAACAACAACACGCCAACTAAATCTAATAAAGAATAACAAACAGACAAGAAGTAGAATCCACAGCTCTAAAGCAACCAAACAATTTGATCTGAAACAAAACAGATTTTTTTGTCTGAATCTTCAAAAATACTCTTTTTAAGACTAAAAGAAATTAACAAAATCTTCAGGAAAGAAGCCAAATATTTACAAGTAAAAGATTAAAGAATTAGAATTTTCAACCAACCCAGAGCAATATATCAATCAAGAACTGCAACACAGAGAGCAATTCAAGTTAATAATCTAAAACCCTAAAAGAAGGAATTGTCATCCAAAATCAAATCCTATAAACATTCACACTAAAACCCTTAGGCAAGAACATTGAAATGTTCCAACTTGTGCTACCAAATGAACAAAGCTCTCAAAACCCAATTCAAATTTACCAATTATGACCTCAAAATGGTTTTTAAGAGAACCAAGTCGTGTAAAGTCTCAACCTTTGTGACCTGAATTTTGCAGACAACAAGAGTGAGAACAAAAACAGATAATGAGAATACAAGAAATCAACCTGAGATTCTTCTTCTTCTCACTCCAAGACTCTAGCTTTTGGTTTCCTCCCACTATATTTCTCGAGAAAACAGATTGACAAAAATGGAGAACTAAACACCAAAAAGACTCTTGATTTTTCAAGGTTTAACACGTACGACGAGGACGAAAGAGGAAAGGGAGAGAGACAAGAGAGTAAATAGAGGGAAGAAAGTGAAGAAAAAGGGAAGCGTTTGGTATTCACAGACCTTCAATTCCCACTCACTTACCCACTTTTGTCCATCATTTCCGGAGTAACGAACGCTCGCTCTTTTTTTTTTTTTGTTGCTGTTCATTATTTCTTTCTTTTGCTCAAATTAAACTATTTTAGTATCTAAAAAAATATATATTCAAGTATTCAACATTTCAACTATAAACATAAATAATTGCTGACAAAAAAGACAAAAAAACAAAACAAAATCATAAACAATTTTTTAAAATTATTAACATAGAGTTGAATGATAAAAAAAAAATTATATAGCAAATGACTGAATACTTAGATTTTCAACGAAATTCGTTTTAGGTTCTGAATAGAGAGAGACATGTGAAAGGAACAGAATAAAAGAGTCTTATCATGCCTTGGAGTTCCACACGTCTTCATTTGAAATATTAGTATGTGATTAATATTTTTTGACATATCTTTAGTTCAAAATTTTCGTGATTAAGCATTATGAATTATTTTTAGTATACGCATATTAGCTATCTATGTTACCGTCAATATAAAATGTTTAATTTCGTTTATGTTTCAGTATACATTTTATTGTTCTAACCGTTTCTGTACTTTTTAAACAAAATTAATTAGATAAACTTATATACTCAATTTTGTCTATGAGAAGAAGATATCAGTATCCAAGATGTCAAAAAAAATTATTAAAGAAAATGTCATAATTTCAAATGGTTGTTGATGTAATTAATCACCGAAAAAAATAAATACAAGCACCACTATACATTCAATTATATTTCACTAAATATTTTTTTGGACATTTAAGGTGATTCACTTATCAACTATTATGAATACTGTTTTTTTCATCAAATAATTATTAGGCGTTTGGTATTGTTTTCAGTTCAAATTTAATATTTTATTAGAGATATCTTCATTATTTATTATTTTGTTTTTTTTTGTGCAAAATTACTTTTGTTTTGTAAGAAAGAAAAAAACAGTGTAAACGAAACGATCATTGTCATATACACTTTTCAGTGTAAACTGGTTGGTCAACTTTAGGAAAGCTTTTTTGAATGTGAACTACAAATATAGTATTCTTCATAGATACTAAGACCAAGCGCAGTGGCGCATGTAGGCGTCGGGTGTATGCAGTGGCGGAGATAGCATTATAGCATGGGGGTCAATTGACACCCATGGATTTTTGAAACATAGTTTTCATTTGATTAATCATTTATAAATTGACCCCATTACAAAATAAAATTTGACCCCCATCAAATTTTAATTTAAGAGAAAACCACTAAATATTATATATCAAAAAGAATTAGTATAAATAAACTCATTACAAATAAACAAAAATAAAACTATATATCCATTAAAGTGAGTTCAACCTAATTATCTCTATTCTTTTGTTACTTTATGATTTTCTTTTTCTTTTTTTCATCTATTTCAATTAACATTATCCATATAAAATCATATTGAAATAAAATTTTAAGTTTTTTTTGTCAAAAAATTTTAAGTTAAATTTTGTATACTTTAGTTTGACGTATAATATTTTGATGATTTTGCTCATAAAATTGTTTATTTAACAAAGGAAACAATAATAAAATACTTACAAAATATGAACAATTCTATGATAAATTTCTTAAACGTATATTTTGATGCTACTTTATTTTTTCTAATGAACTTATGTATTTTCTATATAAAAAAATTTGACCCCTATAAACAATTTTTCTGGCTCCGCCACTGGGTGTATGTAATTTAATATAGAAAATAATGCAAAAAGTGGCTTTTCAACAACACTCACATGTAGAGTTGCATTCGGGTGTGGGCATTATAAAAAGGGAAAAAAATTTCTTGTCTCTATCTCTCTCTATCTCTCTCTTTTCTCTCTCTCTCTAATTATAATACTAAAAAATTATTTACACCCATACTAACACATTCACCACTGTGGGTGCTCTATAGTAATAGACAATAGTAGAGAATTTAGGATCGTGCGTGGCTCTAACGATAACGTTTTCATTTCAACAAACATTATTATAAAAAATAAACAAACAGAGAATAATTTTTGATTTACTTGTTATCAATAACAAATAAGTTTGTATGATTCATATGAATATGGTAAGCACGTCTAATGGACTCAATTATATTACACGTTTCATTCATTTGTGTGTTACTGCTCTCCTACTCATTCACATCTATCATTAAGGTTGATCAAATTATTTGTTTTAAGGAATTAAGCCCACCAATCTGGTATGAAATCATCACTATTAACTTATTAATTCATCATTGCTGATTGGTTTTCTCATAATAGCTATCAAATTGTATTCTCTTCATAGAAAAATAAATCAAAATAATAGAATTTTATTTGATGAATAAAACATTTGGTAAAGTATTTAGATTCTTTCTATTATACCAAATTTTTTTATGTTTTAGTTTATTTATAAATACGAGTATCACAGATTTATTCATTTGTTTAGGTAACTTTGAATAATTTTCACAATTTTATTATAGTCTCTTTATTACTTATCACTTATTTAATGATATATTTCAACAATCCACAATTTTAGTATAGTCTCTTTAAACTTTATTTTGGTATTTTTTATTAAGATAATAAAATTAATTAACTATGAGATGATGATGTTCATCTCTATTAGTTTAGTGGAATTTATTTTTCTATGAAGAGGATAAAATTAATTAATTAAGAGATATTGATGTGTTATTGTTAAAGAGACTCCTTTCATATTCTTATATATAAGATACCATAATTACTTTTAAATTTGCTTATATATTTTATTCTGTTAATAAATTATTATTATTATTATTATTTTTCTTTATGTTCTTGGAAACCTTTGATATATATTTTATTATTATTTCTCGTATATATAATTTTATTTTGTTTTTTTGTTTTTGTTTTTCTTAAGACATGTTTTGGTTTTACTACTTTTAAGCATATGTCAGGAGCTAAATTATAATATTAATAGGTGTCCCATAGTTGTAAGACAACATAAACATATCAGAACTATGCATTGTAAGAATCCAATATAAATAGATATTATAACCAAGTCAGTAAGTTGGAAACTTGCAATCACATTATTTTTATCATCTCTACCGAAATTCTGAACTTTTTAAGTTTTTAAACAATGGTTAGTCAATATTTTAGGATGCATGTTAAACAAATATATATAATTTTATACATTCAAAATTTTGTATTGCTTATATAATGAATTCGTTAAAACTTTAGTATAATTCTTTGTAGGAGGAATTTACATTCAAGTTTCAATCTACTGATGAAATTGCCAGGCAAAAATCTCTAAATTACATCTATCTTCTTCAAGGTACACTATCACAATCTACTGGTTATGTTGAGCCAAAATAAACTATTTGTTATATATACAACAGCTAATATACCATATATAGATCATTTCAATTGGGCTTTAAAATTTTAAACAATGTTTTAATAATGTGTATATATATTATTTTTTTGTTAGGAGTTAGTTCTGTGACATTTAGTGAGCGAAGCAACTTACTAACCGTGAAAGGAGAAGGAATTGATAAGGCTAAAATTATGAGGAAGATAGATAAGTTTTTTCAACCGAAAAAATCGTTCTTTTCGTGTTTTAGCTAATAATTTTACCGTGCATGTTTTTTTTTGTTGTTGTCAAGCATTGTGCATGTTTATGTATGTATTTATATTCTATAGAAGTGTTTGGATTTTTCTTTGATTATTGTTTAAACTTAAATTATTAGTCTACTCGTATATTGTCTTATAAAAAAATATATAGTCCAGATAATTAGGAAAAAAACACACATGTCATAACCGACAGAAACATATAATAGCATCATAACTAAAATTCTACACCTCCCCAAAATAAATATCGTACGAGTTTATATAATTAAGATAGTAACATAGATACACGGTTTAATGTGGAAACGTTGAAAACCATAGATTTTCGATAACCGGAAGAGGAGGTTCCACATTCTCCATCTGATTGGTCAGGACTCAGGTCTGGTCTGGTCTGGTCTGGTCTGGTCTGATCCGGTCCAACTCGGTTTGATTTGGTTTGTGTTTGGTCTAGCTGACATAGGGAGGGTCCATGAAAACCCACTGAAAAACTTGCTCATACTGAACGGCTGCGTTTTCCCAAGAATAGTTTCGTGTCATTCCTCTTCTCATCAATCCTTCCCATGACTCTTTATACTCTCTGTACGTTGCTGCAGCCAACCTCAAGGCCTGAGAAGCATGTAACAGAACAAGGTCATATACCCACACTATCAAACCATAAACCACAAATCCTCTTGAGAAATGGGGAGTTCGATAAACTTACCGACACCATGCTATCCTTCGACAAGGGAGTGAATACCCACCTGAAACATTAAACCCACAAAAGAAAGATTCATAAGATACAAATCATTTGAATTTGATGATTTTTTTTTTTCTCAAAAGCTGAATTGTTTATTACCCTGTACCAGCACCAGCTCCACCTTCTGCATAAGGGTTGAAATTCTCAACCGTATCCTGAAAACAATTATGATCCAATTATATATCATAACCCTTTTTGCTACCAAACAATTCTCTCATTCTCAACACAATTTGATTTTGTTTTTTATCCGGGTTCTGGAAGATTTAAAGAAACTTACTCTTAGCCCTCCCGTGCCATGAACAACTGGAATAGTTCCATATCTCATTGCGTATAACTGATTTAAACCGCAGGGCTCGAATCTCGACGGCATGAGAAGAATGTCACAGCTGTTTATAGATTTCAAAACAAAAAAAAATATCCAATGAGATATTTGTGGCAATGTTAAGGGTTTCTATAGATCTCCCTGTATAAAGCAAAGATTCTCGGACGGGTTTTATCATGTCTTCTAGAATTTTGAAAATTTAAGCTAGAGTGATTTGTTTTTACCCGGCTGTGATTCGATGAGAGATGGGAACATTG